GATTTTCTAAACTTCATATTTTTTTTAATTTTACCATGGAACAAAAGAAGCATTTGCAGACAAGAATAAAGGAGCCTGCGTGCCGTAGTTTGGAGACCTCTGGATTAAGGCATAGTTACTTAATCAGTGGTCTGCAAAAATCTTTAGATGATTCAATAAACAGTGCACTGTGTTTTTGTTATTATAAAAATACATAAATAGTTATTATTTTGAATAAATTATATAAATATCTATTATTCTATTGTTAAGTCGATGATCCATAAAAGTGATTTTGGTGGTTCAAAGATATAAAACTATTAAAAAATTACCTTATTATGTAATTAAATCAGTAAATGAAAGTAGGATAGCATCTGATGACTGACATTTTATAAATATAAAATGTATTGGAATAACTATTCTTTGTATTCTTATAAAAAGTAACATAAGTTCATATCTTGACTGTCCATACAGCTTAAATTTAACAAAGAGATAATATAAAATTATTTTAATTACAATAAATCTTTGAAGAGAAGGATGGGGGTGATCATTCAAAATAAAATAGTAAAAATAAATAATTGTATTTATTTTAACATTCACCAATGTTTCGGCCCGAAGTTCAGACCTTCATCGGGGCTGTTATATCAACAATCGTAGACAGATGCTTCATTGATGTTTTTAAAAAGTTTCATAATAAGTTTTGAAGGAACTATTTTAGAAAAAATTTAAAAGAACTTTTGGGTGATAATTTTTTTAATTTATAGCAAATGTTAAATTTGTATCTATTAAGTTCCAAAAGAATAAAAGGCCTGTTAAATGAGAAATAAATAGTATCTTAGTGGGCTTGGTCTGTCTACGCTCGTTGATATAACAGCCCTGATGAAGGCCTGAACTTCGGGCTGAAATGTCGTTGAATATAAAAATAAATACAATTATTTATTTTTACTATTTTATTTTGACTGATCACCCCAACCATCCTTCCCTTCAATTATTCACTACAGTCAACCATCAACCCACATTTACAATAAATCTTGAAATATTTATAAATCGTTCAAATCAAGAAACAATGTTAGAATAAACATTTAATTGTAATATATCTTATATGGTAACAAGATTTTATTCCATAGAATATTTCCTATAGACAAACAGGGAAACTTTTGTTATAATAACCGTTTATAATATTTACTTATTTTAATTTTAGTTTAAATCGCTATGTATTACATTTCAATTTTAGGTAGCCTTTTACATCTGTAAATATTTAAATATTATAAAGTTATAAAACAAATACACCAAGAAATAAGTGATTGTTTTAAGTAGAAAAATAATGATAAATAACAGGAAATGTTTTTAGAAAGTTTCATAATAGGTTTTGAAAGAACTTTTTTAAAAAACGTTTTGAAGAACTTTTGAGTGATAAATTTTTGGATTTATAATGAATGTTAAATTTCTATCTATTAAGTTGCACAAGAATAAAAGGCCTGTTAAATGAGAAATAAATAATATCTTAGTTGACTAAGATTACAGATATAACTTGTCTTGAATTACCTGATTTTCACATTTCTTTTTGTTAAGTAACTTCGGAGTTCCTCTACACTTATAATTGTTTATATTTACTATTTGATGATATATATATATATATATATATATATATATATATATATATATATATATATATATATATATATTGCTTTAAAAGAATTTTTAAATAAAAATTTTATGAAAACAAATTAAAATGTTCAATGATAAAAAATTCTAGTTCTGAAAGAACAAAAAAACAAAGGGAAAATGAATATTCTAGTAACATTCAAACTGATTAAGAATAAATATTAAATTTTAATTTCAAACCCTAGTGAATGCTGGTTAGATAAAAGTTAAAATATATGTATATATATATATGTATATATATATATATATATATATATATATATATACATATATATATATATATACACATATATATTTCTTATTTTTAAATGTTACATGGCCTATATTTCTTTTAGTTTATTACTTTCAAAAAAAAAATATGCGCTCATTCCATGGTACCACAAGTACCATCGGATAGTTTCTTATATTTCTTGGAACTACTTGAGATCCACAAAAATACAATATTATCCCAGGCTTGAACATTGAAAAGGGAATGCTTACTTCCATTAATTCTGCTGGTGGATGAATATTGTAGAGTTGAATTACAGAACCAGGCACCACATCTCCCCACTGCAGTTTAACAATAGAAAGAGGTCCTTCAGAGCTTAAGGGATGGCTTTCATCATTGTTGTCCAATGGTGGAAAATACATCATAAATCCACATTTAATCATCCTCTTCTCAATCTGGAGTATTACAGGAGATGAAATGATGTGTTGGAAAATAGCATCTTCTGTTACGTTCGCAGTGTTATAAACAGCAGAACCAAATCCCTGCGCCATAGTTTTAAGAATGTTTCTAAACCGAGTTCTGTATCATACTGAAGGCAAACAGCACTAGTAGCCATTTTTATACTAACAAAAAAAAAAAAAGTAAACAATTTGATTAGATTATTTTTAAAATATAAGCTGAAAATGAAACAAAAAAAAAAAACTTATCAATAAGCATTTTTAATTTTAAAAATAGAAAGGTTTCATTGTTAGAGAATATTAGGTTTGTTTATATTTACTTGTCTGTTAGTTTATATTCAATTAAATAAACGTTTTCATTAATGGCCAACCCATAAAGAACCCTATTTACTAGGCTTAAATGCTTATTTTTTTGAAATACATTAATTTTCTTTAGAGTTCATAAAAGGTAATATAAAACAACAAAGAAGTAAGTTTAAGTATTTATTCGAAATAAAATAAAATTTAAATTAGTATAAACGATCTCAATTTTCTTAGTTCAGTTGATCGCAGTTTTATAGTTGATTTCCTGTCTTACAATCTGTCATGTTTCTAATGGTATATTTAATATGAAAATCAAAATGTCCATCTATATTATTCTACAATAATATTGAGAATTCCAGATGATGTATTTCTGTTCTTCATCACTTCGTTATCCATAAGTTAGCAAAATAATAAGGAGTTTCAATTATTTTATAAGGTAACCATGTTCTGTATTATCATTAATTTTATCTGAGCTATGGTCTCGTTTGCATTGTCACAGTGTATGTTATGCAAATTTTTCATTAAACTAAGTAATCATGAAGTGGTCCACAAGGTAGTATGCTAATAAGGTGTATGTATGTTAATATGTATGTATGTTAATGTGTATGTATGTTAATAACTTTTTACTTTATATTTGAACCTAATATAGTAAAATGAACCCTAGAAATATTGCAACTGTTACAGGAAGTAAAGGTAAATAGTTTTTAACAGAATATTTAGTTAAATTTTAATAATTGAGATTGTGCTACTTATATGAACTTAACTTTTTTTTGAGGCACAAAACTAAATTTAATTGTTAAAAATTTCAGATTTACGGAATGTTAACATTACTTTAAGAATTCTTTTTCGACCAGTACCAGAATAACTTCCGAGCAAAGCTGCAAAGTATTTCAGTGGTAAGTTTAATTTTGGTAGGTTATTATAAGTGTAGTATATCTATGCTCAAATTAGGGCTAGCAAATTTCCATAGTGATATTTTTAAGACTTTAATTTTACCATATTTGTATTATGATATATTATTTAAATATAGTTTTTATGTGAATTAATTAATTGGAAGAAAGCATAACTTTGGTATTAAGTGTTTTTATATTCAATAAGCAATAAGAAATGTTATTAGATCATGAAAGAGACCATTATTCTTATGATAATGTTCTTATTAAACTGGATGGAATGATAACATTTGCAAAATCATTTTTTTAATATATTATAACAGACTTATCATTGTTAAATTATTAATTTTTACTTTAATTTAACAGCAGAGAAAAACCCAAAATCCAACTATGTGACAGCCCAGAACAATTCTAAAATTTATTTATTTTCATTTTCTATGATTTGTTTCTGTATTATTAAACTAAAATTCTCTTTATCTGAAAAAACAAAAAAAGTGAAGTTAAGAGTTTGAGAAAGTCAAGTTCAATATTTTAATTTAGCATTATAGGAACTGCAGGATAATACTTACTGTTTGTTTTCTACAGTTTGTTATGGCAATCTCTACACGATCTGGGCCAAGTAAGGGCTAAGTAATAAAATTATTAGAATCATAAAAAACATTTACCAGAATGCTTCAGCTAGAGTAAGATGTAACAGTATATTCTCGGGTGAAATAGAAGTCACATTTGGCCTGCTACAGGGAGAAGTATTATCGCCTTATTTATTTAGCCTATACATCAGCGATATAGAAGCATTTTTCCGGAGCCGAAATGTAGGAGGTATTAGGATAAATAGTTTATGTGACATACTATTGCTTCTCTACGTCCTGTTAAGTTGTCGCAGAGTTGGAGGGCTGAAACTGCAGTGGGCAGATTGGGTCACCATGACGCAAGAAAATATTTGAAGGTGCGAAACTGGATGGCAGTGGCACAGAACAGAGACACATGGCAGTAGCAGGACCTTTTATGGGTTGTAAGACAAGCCAAGAAGAGAACTCTGAAAATGTAAATGATGAAAAAATAATAAATTTTCATCATATGTAATTTTTTTAAAAATGATAATAAAAAATTATTGTACATGATCATAGAGATTGGATGACGCATTTTATGATTAAGTATGAAACAGGTGATGACTTATTTAAATAAACACTATATATTTTAATGAGATTACTAGCTTTATAAAAAATTAAGATTCCTCAGTCTATATTTTGAGAGTAACAAAACTTTATAATAAATGTTCAAATATATGAATGTTAATAATAATAAAATTAAAATAAATATTCTAGAAAAATAAATAATTTAATAACAAAGAAAATTAGCAAAAACTACTTAATTTTGAATTAATTATATTGTTTTATAATGAATTCAATTTTACCCCACCATTAACCCCACTCCAATCAAATGTTATATAAAGTGTATATCCTCCACAAATTTCATTTATTATTTCCGTATCCATTCAGTATGAGACCTATCAACAATATTAAACTGGTAAGTTTATTTGGCCATAGATTTTTATTGATTTAATCATAATAAGTTAATTCTTTCTTACTTATGAGGTGAGTAATAGTAGAGTTATTCTAAAGACTGCCATGAAGAAGGAATTAAAATTTAATTTTTTGGGAAATTAACATACTTATGGAAATAATTAATATTGAAGAAGTCAAAATAGATATCTGATCCATGAATATGATATAGAGAAAACAAAATTATCACCAGCTGTAGCCACCACGCACTTTTCTCAGTCTAAAAATTATGATATTTACTTCTTTATTTAACAGTTTATGAGAATTAGTAGATTTGAGTACAATCAATGGCATAAAATATATCTCAATATGAATAAATTAATAAAAATGTGTTAGTTTAAAAAAGATTTAGTAGACTAGACTTATATTAGATATATCTATTCTATCATCCAGGACTCTTAGCTGTTTACATAAACAATATAAATGGAGAAGTATACTAAACCTATATTAATTTCAACAATTTTGAAAGTAACGTAAAGGAGCAAAATTAAATTACAATACTTTAATGATAATTAAAGTCTAAGACTAAATATATCGACTATATCTTGATGGAAATATAAATCAAAATAATTTATGCCAGTCGGGACTGTTTAATTAATTTAACTTCTTGTTCATTCAGCACAATGCCTCAATATTTACTTTTAAATATTTTAACATAGAATATCAAGCTACTGCATGAAATTTATTTTTGCTTTTTTTTAATTTTCACATAATGCATTTATATATTACATATTCCAGGGTTTTAAATTATAACTAAAAATAAAAAATAATAGTAATAATTCATTTATATTGTTAATGTAATTGCTGTCAGATTTTAATTTTATAATAGTACTCTAAATCTGTTTATCGGCAATACAAGTCTTTAAAGAACTAAGTTTAAATTTCATCCATTTTAATCCACTATGTTAAAAGTATCCTAGTTTTTTATAATTTTTACTGGTCACTAGTCAGGGTAGGCAGCGACATTTTTTATTTATTTATTTATTTTTTTTTAAGTTTTAAGTTGGGCTCATGTCTTATTTGATTATTAAATTAATCCTTTCATGAATAATATATGATCAATTTTTTTAAATTATAAAAATGTAATTGAAAAATTATATAAGTATGTTTTATTTGCAGACATTCTCTTTCATATTACTTTCCATAACTTTTTGTAGTGGATTCAAAGGAGTTGATATAAAGAAATCTTACTGTACCTGTGAATGGAAAAATAAACATAATGAAAAGGTTTTAAATTTCAGATAAAATTTTGTATTTTGTATTTAATACTTCAAAGTTTAATTTAAAATCATAATTGACAGCTGACAGAGTTTTTACAGGGAATGGGCCGTATTATTGGAGGAGACGAAGCTGATGATGGGGAGTACCCTTTCATGGCTGGCCTCTTTGAAGAGGCAGATGGGCTAGTGGAATCAGTGCAATGTGGAGCCACTATCCTAGGTTCTTTGCAGCTGTTGACTGCTGCACATTGTGTCAACCCTTCATCTAACTATTCAGTGGTTATTGGAGTTCTAGGACTCTTCGATCCTGGTAAGAATAATAAAGAAATTAAAACATTCAATCTATTTTGTAGCTTTATATATATACTGTTGTGGCAGACCAAACGTACCAATGACTTTTTAAAACGCTTACAGATAACGCTTCTCAAAACTTGCACTAGTACATACATTATTTTTGCTATATCTTGCTATTTTTCCAAACCATTTTTTTTTCATAAACAACTTCAAAACTAATTAGTAAACATTTAAGAGAAGAAATATAAAGGTTAAACAGTTGTTATGCAATGTTGAATAACTTTTCATAATCAAGTGTAAATGAATAATCTTGAGATAGAGGATAGGTGGCTCATTTACTCCTATAAAGATGCTTGATTATCAATCATACCATATTTATATGACAGTAATGTCCCCCAAATGTAAATTTCATCAGGATGAGAGACTATGTAAGGAAAAGCCCATTGATTGTCTACAAGGAGTCCTCCGTAAAGTCTTTATTAATTATTATCGATGTCTTATAAGTGTATGTCTTATAACAATCAAAAACTTGATGATTATGATTACTATTATTTCTGAATTTTTTCGGATTGTCATGAGTTTTGAGGTTGTTTCCCTTATTTTATTTAATAGGATCATAGGAGACAAACAAATTATTTTTATGTAGAATGTTCTTAGCATTTCTTTTTAAAATTAAAATACACACCTTTTTTTTTATACATCCCTTAAAACTCTTACATGATTATTGTGTGATCATCATAGATATGATCAAAGCCTTGAAGAGTTACAATATTGGAGAACTGTGTCAATAATATAGCTGGATACAATTTATAGATGTTTTACAAAATGTCCTGGAAAGATCTCTACTAATGAATGGCTCTCTTTGAATCTTTTTTAGAACATTTTCTATCTAGAAATTTATGAATGATTCAATTTTATTAAATATGTTAGCAAGAGATATATTGATTCATTTATGTTATTAATGATGACAGGAGTTCTCTAATTTTCAACTTTATAGTTAATTAATTTTATTAATGATATTGTTATTTGACTATAACTCTGGTTTAAAATAATACTTATTTACAATACAAGAAGTATAAAATCAATCAAATTAAAATATTACTTGTATTGCAATATCAACAAAAAAAAATTACATTATAATAAACCAAGATACTTTTGTTTAATACTTAAAATATAATAGAATGGAATTTAAATGATATTCGATTAAATAAGTAAAACTGCTTGCTTGTCAATGTGTTAAAGTAAATAATTATTAGTTATTAATGAAATCCACATGGCAGAGGAATCCTAATGTTTCATAAAAAAGTTAAGTGAAACTCATTAGAGATGATTGGAAAGGAAGAAATAAAATCACAAAATATCCAATTTATAAGTATTTCTATTAGAAGATATGTAACAATGACCTAACAACAACTTTCATATCTGCTTTAAATCAAATGCATTGTAATTGAGAAAGCATTGTTTCTAGATAATAAAAGAACAATCATTAGGCTTGTTTACTGATTGGAATCTTCTGCATTCACTTTCATCCAAGTCCATTATGTAATTAAAAAAAAAATTAAAAAATATTATTTAGATTTTAATTGAACTGTGTTTGAATTCACAGACTTGACAAATATAAGAAAAGTATCAAAAATTGACATCCATCCTGATTTTGATGAGAATACTTTAGCTGGTGATATAGCTTTGCTTACTGTGGATCATCCTCTGGACTTCAGTTCAAGAAGGATTGGTCCTGTCTGTTTGGGTCAGAAGAAGAGAAAAATTCATTCTGAATTCAGGATTGTTGGTTAGTGAGTTACAGCATTTACATTTTCTTTATTTTACTTAACTTCGCTTTAATTTAATTTTTCTAAATTAACTTATACTAGGCTGGGGCTGCTTGAGCAATATGTCCACTCCACAATATCTTCAGGAAGTCTCTGTAGATGAATATGATTACGATAACTGTTACAGTCGAGGTTTGATTGATAAACACGACAGAAAACAGTTTTGTACATTGTCAAGGAATAAAGGACCTTGCTTGGTAAGATTATAACTTTATAGTAAATTGTTTACATATTTTTACTAAAAAGAAATATTTTATCTGAACCATACAAGAAATTAGTTGAGAACAATAATAGGTTTCACGGTTATATAAAAGCTGTGCTTTTTGTATGAAAAAAGAACTGCCATGTTTGTCAGACTAGAGGAACAAAGGCCTGAAGGGGCCTGGGATAAAGTAGTAGGTAAAGTTTTATAATTAAAGATTGTTAAAAATTAAAATATCACTAAGTATTAATATTTACCACCATCATATACTTATGCACACACATTTATTTATTTATATCACACAAAAGGGAACTTTTATTTATTTAGGTATTTGTGGATAGCACAAACACATCAAATCTGCATGGTCGAAAGCTTGATTAACGAGTTGCTTCGATCAGTTCTAATAATAAAAATTAAATAGATAGATGTTTGTATTTAGTCAGGAAATAAAGTATTAGTAAATTTTTCCAGGGAGATTCTGGAGGTCCAGTGCTGCTTTTCGATGCTGAAAAAGAAACCTACACCTTAGAAGGAATAGTCTCGAAGGGACCTGAAGATTGTAGGACATTGCCAAGTGTTCATATCGATATTCACCATCCAGAATACATCGATTGGATAACAGAAAGATCTATAGGTAATGTTATAAGACTAAAATTATAACTGTTTCACCCCCCTGAACCTGGCTTGTCACGGTATAAGCGAAAGTTAAATGATGCACAGACAGGCCTAAAAAAAATGTAATCTTTGTCACCGTACAATTATATTTAGTTGTAATTATTATAAAATTATAAATCATATATTTTAAACAGCTATAATAATTAAAAATTTATGTTTTTTCAGATCAGATCTGTTGGATTAAAAATTTACCAGATGACAGAGATTGGACATCAAGGAGAAAAAATATTTTAGAATATGTGAACTAGCCCTCAATTTGATCACTGAAATTTTCTTGTGATAAATCCACTTAAACATACGGCTGACACTTATACTTATAGAAAATGGTGATAAATTTGAGAAAATCACTTTCATAAAGTAGCATACTCAAGTTTATTTATTTATTTCCACCATACCCTGTCTTTTGACAACACAGATTTTTCATAGAAGTAGTGAGATAATAAAAAAAATAGGCTTACATGAAGCAAAGAATTAATTTTTATAAGAACTCAACGATATTTTTTTCTTTTATGTCAACATCTGTCTCTTTTTTCATAAAATTGACGATTATTATCTTTATTCAATTATTTTTCTCTCTTTAATATGATTATTTTACAATTTATTTTCTGGGTGTTGTCATAATTGAAACTCACCTTTTGTTAAAAACAGAGATAATTTGAAAAATAACTTTTAATAAGTTGGTATGTTTGTTACTGTATTATATACGTGCACATTAATTGTTTGGAAGCAGACCTGCACAGCTTAAAATTATTTTTTTCTTTAAATAATAAAGTTTGTTCCTAGGTACATTCCTCTATCATATCATCAACAATCATCGTCCTTCCTACGCCTACAACCTTCTCCAATTCAAGTCCTCAGTCCACTCCCTCTCCACAAGATCTCGACCTTCCGACCTTTACATTCCTTCTCACAGATCTGCCTCGTTCCAAAACTCCTTTATTGCACATTCTGTTAGTTTCTGGAATTCCCTTCCTATCAAAATTCGACATTCTTCATCCTTATCTACATTCAAAACCCTCCTATTTCAATTCCTGTCCCAAAAACAGTCAGGCACCAGCTAACCTTTTATGTAAAATTACATATTATCTATAAGACCATATTCACATATAGCTCATGACCTGAATACTTATTATAGATTCGACTTTCTTTTTCTCTTTTTTTTTTTTTTTTTTTTTTTCAACAGAGACAGATTTTACTGTTAAGAAGAATATACATTTATTTTTTCTGTATTTTTTCTTTTTTCTAAAAGGGTTTATTTATATTTTAACATTGTACATAGTTTTAAATATCTAAAATGGTTTCAAGAGTTGTTTATATAAATTTTTTTATTTTATTTTGTATATTTTATTTTCTTTTCTTTTCTTTAATGACCTATCTTTATCTTAATTTGTTATGTTTGTTTTTATCTGGCCAGATGTAAAATTTTAATTTATGTACTTTTTTGTTATTCTGAAGGGACTTCGTCCCAGAATAAAATTATTTTTCTATTCTATTCTATTCTAAATAATTCTTTTGTATGATTGTAATCATTTAGTTTATTATAATTACTAAAAAATGGAAATATTTTTTTTTAACTAAAGGTGTGTTTAAATTATGACAACAACCAGAAATTGAATTCTAAAATAATAGTATTAAAGTGAGAAAGATAATGGAATAATTGAAATAGAAAACAATTGAATATGGCATAAAATTTAAACAACAACAAACCCAAAAATTTAGTCCTAAAATTATGTTTTCAATAAAAAAATACTTTAGACAAGTCATTTCCATCAATTTGTTTGCTAATGTTTGCAAGAAATTATTAATAAAATAGTAAGGAAAACTGTCATTAATACATCGAACTTTGACAAAATCTTCAAGTAGTGTTTCTTCAAAACTAGAGATGAACTGATTAAATATGTAATAGTCTTGAATAATTAGATTTGGCTACATATGGAATGTAAAAAAATAGCAATTAAATATATAATTTGTACAAAATAAAAATAATGTAAATAAATACGTCTTTAATCTATATAAATATTTTTTATTCCGTCCATAATGTACCTATACATTTAATTATAATTATTTTAAGAAACCAATGATGATAAAACAACAATGTATATAAATGATCATAGTGTCCTATCAATTGAAATTACTGTATTTATGATGAATTTGTAGCAAAAGTTCATAAATAATATCTGGATAAGGGTGTTACTTCATTTGGCTACGTTTTTTTTTTTTTTTTTATGATACCTTGGAAATCTAAAATCCAAAGTATACCTATTCGTGAAATATAAATTATTATTATGAACCATAAAATTCCCACTAAAATTGTGGGGAAATTGCTACTGTTAGTGCAAAAAGTCATATGTAAAAATTGAGTATTTTTACTGAAGAACATAAATATTGGCTATTTCTTTATGATTTATTAGTGTAATTTCATGTTTTATTTCCCTCTGCTATTTTTCATAGTAGCAAACTACTTAATGCGGTTGCAGACTACAAAATGTCGTCTTTAACACAAATAGAATAAATATGGACATTTTTTTTTATCCTATTTAAAAAAATAAGTAATAATACAAATTATATCAAAATATGTTTATATTTTGATTAGAAATGATTTTTTTAACTAGAAAAGAAACAATCTTTGAAAAAGCTACGTTCTTATACATCTTAGGTTCAAATTAGGAAATAAATATATCGCACAATATAACATAAAATATTTTCTATTTTATTTCCTTAAAAAAGAATGTTTCGTAACAATACTGTTTTAAAACTAATTCGCTTTAGAGCATTCACAGCCGTTAAATTCATTAATTAAAAACATATCGCATCATTCCAAAGCAGCGCACACTCAATACACCATCAACTCCATCAAAGTCTTGGCATAACATCTAGCTACTACTGAAATCGGTAGAACAACAAGAACATATTTTCTTCTTTATTTTTCTGAAGGGAGTTTGTTTTTTTGGGAGAGGTGGTAGAATCTTGATACACGCAAGACTCGTGTCTGGAGGAAAATGGACTCTTAGTTGTTTTGGAAATGTAGGTTCTTCTTTTTCGTATTCGTCATAATTGCCTTCTTCTTCCTCTGGAACTAACAATGTATTCAGTTAATCAAACAATAGGAACAAAATCGATAAATAATAAGATTTTATTAAATTATTATAAGAAAACTAATAAACACATGAATGTGATAATTGAATAATATTACATACATAAAATAATATATAAATAATAATTTTACAAATAATTAAAACTATTTTATTTATATACTAGTAAAAAAAAAATTAGTTTTTTTTTTTTCTTTTCTAATATCAATCATCATCTTCCACAAAAGGGTCCTTTTTTACGTCAGTAATCAATAATAGATTGATTTTTATCTGTTCGATAATTAAAATATAATTAATGAAAAATTTTATTAAATGACGGACTATAACTTATATTCGGTACTGAGTAGTTAAGTACTAATGTTTATTTAAAAAAAAAAATGAAACAAGAGAGAACTATAATGATATTGCATGACTGCTCAACTGTGTTGAGTTGATAAATCACAAAGCATACTCAATCAATCAACATATAATACTAAAAACAAAATAAGAGAGAGTTATGCGGGAATATTTTAATATATATATATATATATATATATATATATATATATATATATATATATATATATATCAAATATGTTGAAAGCTTATAGAATCATAAATGAGAAGGCAAAGATCAATACATGTGGTGATGGAAGATTCCTAACGAGTATAAAATAATAACCTCAACCGTCTACTCCCTTCCAACATGAGGCCTCTGCAAGAAATCACTTGAAGGTAGAGGGGTAGAGAGATGGAAATAAATAAAAAACTTTGGAATGTTTAAATGTAGGGGAAAATAAATAAAAAAGGATTTAAATTGTAGATAATTTTAATGTAGACTTTGATTTGTTTATTGCAGTGAAGGGCAAAATCGGGCATGATTACAACTGAAAATAAAACTTAATGACCACGCCAATTTTGTACTTGTTTCAATAGCAATATAAATATAGTAAAATGTGACACGATTTCCTGATCTTCTGATTACAAAAGTAATCTGAAATCTGATTACTATTGTAACCGTGTAATCACCTAATCAAAATCACTGTAATTGTAATCATAATTACCGTCATCGTAATCGTTGATTATGATTATGTACATCTATACTTTATTGTGTAAGTAGAAGAAATATATATTCACTTATATACGCCTTATACGAATTCTTTGACCAATATATAGGGATTCTTGGAGTATATGCAGTCTCTTGTAAGTGGGTACCTAATCCTATAGTTTATTAATAGTAATTTATCTTCGGCATCTTCTAGCAATTCCTTCCTGGATTGAAATGCAGAATTTTTTATATTTACTTACGTCATGATATACAAAGTAAAATCACAATTGTTGTTATATGATGATGATTTTTACAAAATATTTAATGCTGATTTCGTATCGTTTTCTTTTAAATGAAAAGTTATAGTGACTACATATATTTTGTAAATAATAATTATGTAATTTGAAAAAACTCGTATAAACAATTCATGTTCACAATGTTTCGGAAAAAAAAATAATCAAATCACTAAGTATTTTGATGAATATTCTCTTTATAAAATCAGAAAATTGTACGTTTGTTGTAACTATATTTCATAAATAAAAGAGCTGGTGTCATTTTAGAGCACTCACTGTTTTTTTTATCAAAAGAGTCGAAATTAACAATAACATAAAAGCTCCATCAAAAATGTAATTAGTTACTTTTTGCAAATTATCAACGGTATGTTCATTTGAATATAATGTCAAAACGTGAAAAAAATTGTAATGGTGTGGAGTGTACAAAAATTTGTGACACATGAACTTTTTATTTTTGTTGTTTCAAGAGCTGTTTATAAAACAGTTTTCTAAAAAGCTTTTGCAATAAATGATCGTAATAATTCTTACAAATATATTTTTGTCGGCCATTAAGAGCGATAATCAACTTATAAAACTTTATCATCTGCGATTACGTAACCGATATATTTTTTTATTCAATCTATACCTCTGCCTACTTGTACAACCAGAAGATATATACTCATACAAAACATATTTAAGAAACGGTATAAAATTTTCATAAGCTCCCCTGTGTGAGAGGTGTAAACATATATATCCCAAGATAGATTAACACGAAACTATTGTATTAATTCGGACAAATTATTAATTGGGGATAGATATTATTAAATATATTAATTTATTAAACATACCTTTTTCATCCATCTCAAAACGAGAGTGACTAAGTCAGGAAGAACGTTCAAGTAATGGTGAAAATACAGGTGGCAGTTAATGCGCTTTCTTCATCTTCTAGGGTTTCCTACACGTCAATCGATAAAGTATTAGTTTCATTTGGATAGAAACACTATTTTTTAAAATAATATATAAATATTGACAGAATCTTATCGAATTATTATAATTTTTTTTTACATTTTGAAGATAAAATTGCAGATATAAAATAGTTGATTTGTTTTATTTAATAATAAAGGATTTTTTTGTTCCATTTATTTATTAATTTACATAACTTTAAATATAAAATCCTGTTTGAAATATTTTGTTATTTAAATGTGATTGGACAGTACGAACACACGGCCTGGAACCCTCACTAACACGATGGCTACTGAGCATATGAACTCTGATTTACCGAACTATTAATTCAGATTTTTAATTAAAATGATTCTTAATGATTATATTAATATTCCATCATTTATCTCACTGAGTGTAGTATAACCATATCAATAATATCTTATAGAACTATATCATGGGGTTATGAGAAAAAATCCGTAACAATAAGTAACAAACATTCCATATAATTGAATCACTACGTACTTTGATGAATTTCTCATCCGTAAAATTTAAACATTGTGTATTTAGTTTAATTATAAACGACAAATAAAAGAGTTTGGTCATTTTCATGAGCATAAGATGTTTTTGTATCGATAAATAACATCAGAATTCACAAAAATATACTTGAAAGTTAATCTACATAAAAAATGCACTTAATGAAGCCAATAATATCCTGTATAAAATACTAAATGGGGTCTAATTTTGTGTTTCAACAATAATAATCTATTTTTTAGTTAAATTTAATTCATAAATAATGTTCATCCTATAGTTCATATTGTCAACGTATCATACTCGGTTTTATTTCCAAGAACGTTTCTTATTCAATGATTGTTTTTTTTTTAAATTCAGATTATAGTGTTTGACTTTATCCTAGTTGTTAGAATACTTATAAGTACATATTTTCTTCCTCATTATTGATACAAAATTTTTATTTTTCCTCTCCATTTCAAAATGACCAATGGACATTCTATGAAGAAGTTATAAGAGTTTAATTCTATTTAGAAATAAATACATCAATATTGTTAAAATATTTTCCTTTGAAAAATTCATATTGGTATTATTATTTTATTTTATTATTTATTTTTTTTTAGCAGTCAGATCAGTTAAATGACTCCTCTTCCAAACTGTGAGAGTAATAAAAGAAAATTATATCAACTATTAAAATTTCTTCCATGTCTTTGAGGCAGTTGTTGATCCAGGATTTAATTATTTTTTTGGAGGTTATTTTATATTATTTTTTCCTTTTTTTTTAAATAACAGCTTTTTTAAAAAAGTATTATGGGTACTTAAAACCATCTGATAGAAGCGAACACACCAACAAGGCGGGATTAATAATGTAAAATTGAAAATATGAAATGTTCAAAACAGTCATTATTAGTTGTTTTTTGGTTTTTTTTTCGCTTTTTCTCTGTTTGTCTCTCTAACTCGTTTTAAGATAACAATTTTAAATATAGCTCATTACAAAGAGAATGAAATGCTAAAAATTTGCCTTCCTTAAATTATGCAATTCCAAATTTTAGTTTTTGAGATATTTTAATCCATACGTTCAACGAATTGGGACTCGCCACTTCTTCATCAAATTCCCTTTGATATCTCATTCAACAAAATTTATCGATTCTGAGAGCCGGAAAAGGTATCTATATATGCCGCATTATATATAGTGTGGATAATTCAATTATTGTAACCGAATTTCGCTATTAATTTTGGAGATTAAGACCACATTTTGTTTCTTCTGTCTAATTAAAAAAAAATATAATAAGAATTAAAGCTGTGATTCGTAGGTTGAAAATAATATTTTATCATGTTCTTTGTCAAAATATTTTAGAGATATCTTACAAGTGGTTGGTCATGACGAGTTCATTTACACTACATACCAATACAGGAGGTCTCTTCCTCCGCGTTCCATTGTGCTTAATAGGTGAGTAATCTCATAAAAAGAGGAGTAGAAAAAAAGTAAATTTGCTTCGGAGTTTACTGCCAATTCTGATAAAGTGTCCTTAACGATGTGAGCGGGCAGAGGATGCCGTTTGATTGAAAAATGGCTCCCAGAGGAGGAAGTAGTTATCCAGTTGAGGGGAGCTCCGACAGAGCAGATAGTCAGTCGCCAGCCATGTTCTGCAGGACGCTGTTGGCAGCGGTGGTTCTGTCCTCCGCAGCCGCCTTCTACGAGGCACCCAACTTCCCCATCGAACCCAAGGGCTACAGGATAGACCTCCATCCAGTCCCGGGCGAGGGCACCTACAAGGGCAGGGTCCGGATCGACATCGTCAATCGTGGTATGCAAATCGTTCATCTGCTTATGTAGGAAGAATAGTATTCCTTACTTATGTTATTGTAACGGGTAAAATAATATTCAGGATAAATTATTCACAGGAGTGAGTAATATACAAACTGGAATGGTATATTGTCTGAATGGACTCGAGATGAATAACCACGACGAATAATATAGTTTTAATCCATATTATATTTTACTAGTTGCCCCCATGCGAATAATTTGCATAGTACACTGATGGGGTACTTGCTGCCTATAGGCCTCATATGGCTCCCATGACGTAGCTGCGATCTCTAAACACGTGTCTTTCTTTCTTACTGTGGGTGTTCAGGAAATATCATTTAGTCCAAAAATATGAAAAAATCAGGGATGGTCTTTTCGGCTGCTTAAATCATAATTAAATCATTCAGTGTCTTTTTATATTTAAATTTGTAGTTGAAATTCACTTAGTAAATCATTTATACCTATAAAATTCACAAAGACATAAAACATTCAGATAGACATACCATACGTTTAAACTGATAAACCAGACCCTAGTCGACTACCTGTTCGGAACTTGATTTAAGCTCTCTAAACGGTATTTTGGAACCCAATTCAAATCGTTTTTGGAATCTAGGAACCCAACCCAAGCTATCCCATAAACTAATTGTTTTGTTAATATAATATCCTGTCGCAATGTGGATAGTGAGAAAAGATTTCTTTCACACCATATTTATAAAAAATATAAATTAACAAAATAAAATAATTATCTAAAAGTATATAAAATATGTAAAGATAAAATCTACCTTTACATAAAATACGATAGTTTTTCACAGAGTAGATCCCTTTTCTGGCTCTGAGAAGCGATGAGTTTTGATGAAACAGGTATCAAACAAAACAGGTTTTCATGGAAAAGTGACATATTACAGTCACATCCTCCCAAAATTTCAGGAAACTTGATTTGCGAATCACTCAAAAAGTATACATTTTTTTCGATTTCAGTCATGATTAATTGTAAGATTAGTAATTCTCTAAAAAAAAAAAAAAAAAATTCGAAGTCCGACTACAATTAGCAGAGATACAGCCTATAGCACTAGCGGATCCAGGATTTAATTTGGGGGGGGGCTTCAGCCCGAAAGATTTTTTTTTCATATACATATAATGATAATTAATTTAAAAAGAAAAAAGAAAGAAATTAACTACCTATATGAAATGGTGTTTAAGTGGTTCTTGAAGTCCTATTAAATGTAATTAATGGGAACAAGAATACTTTGAGAGATAGCATTTAATATTTTTTTCTGTAAAACATGTTATATTTTACCATTTTGTGGGAGGGGAGGCTTCATCCCAAAAGCTCCCTCCACCCCCAGTAGATCATGTTTTTTGTTTATTATTATGAAAGACCTAATGTGATTTGACTGAGAAAAAGAAAATGATTTCTTCTATCTCATTATACATTTCATTAAATTATTTCTATATTGTATTGTCAATTGTTCACTGATCATTATACTATGAGAGTTATTTGCATAGGCCAACTAGTAAAAGGTAAAGATAAGTAAAGTAAAACAACACAGACATACCTATCCTATATACACTGTTTAAACCTAAATTACGTTTTCATTATAAAATGCCTGTTTTATCATTTTTTCCCTATTAACTATTACACAATATCTATTAAAATGTACTATTTGAAATATAATATTTCTGTAAATGAGAACATTTTTAAAGCTGTGGAATCGCTAGAAGTACCAAGACATGAAATAAAGTGTTGGCTCAGACCTCTATATACATATAACTAGGGAGAAGAAGTTACTTGAAATATTTTTCCATTTTCAAATATTATAAATTTATTATTTTTATAGTAAATGCAACACAATTAATATATGAAACACAGTATAAAATGTATATTAAACCACAATTTATAAGTGAAAGATATTCAAATTTTTAAACTGATCACTTTTCATCTAAGTATTATCATTCAAATTATGAATGTCATTGGGAGTAAATCACGGAAGGCTTAATTGAAGTCTGAAGAGTTGCTTGATTACATCAGATTACCAAAAAAAATTCCTACCTGATTATAGATTTGTCATTAAATCTCCAAGAATTTTATTCTGACATAATTATTTTTATTTTTAGTATCGTAATCGGGTCAGGGATTTAAAAACAAATATCGATATATTAAAATATCAATATTTTTATAAATCGGTATTTTTGTCAAATAGTTTAATATAAATATTGAAAACTACCAAAAGCCTACATTAAAAAAAAAATTAAAATATCTACAAATAACACACCTAATGATATTATTTTTAAACACTGAGAGCTCTTAGTTGAGTCAATTAATTTTTTTTTATCTTTTAAGTTTTTGTAATGTTGGTTTATAATAAAAGTGTTTATAAGATCCTCGTGATAAATCTTTTTGATAATAAATGATACTTTAATAGATTTTTAGTAATTCATTCAATATTGATATCTTCTTTGATTCTTTTTAACTTTTTAAACTGAATGCTTTAAAATAATTTTGTCTAGTTTCTGGTAATATTTTCTTTTTATATTTACTAATAAATGTTAATAATCTGATAATACTGTTTGCGATGGACAATATACGGATACTTAATTGTTGCAATTAAAGCTTTTACAAATCTAAGACTTCAGTTAAACTTTCTCTCTCTTCTCTTTCTCTCGAAGATTAAAAAAATTGGGACTTGAAATATTGATATTTTGATAATGACATCCCTATCATGTCATGTTTCTAGAATTATGGTCTATAGGCAGGGCTTTATTTCCATGGCGAGAGCCGCCAAGGGAACCTGATCATTTAACTTTAATTAAATTGAGTAAGAAATAGATTTATTATAACACATTCACAATTATTTTGGTTGTTCTACATTCCTTTAAAGCATTATTTATTGCCAAGATGTCAGAGTCTATGTTTTCAACATAGTTAAAGTTTACTTTCATGAGATCTTAATTTATTCAATTTGTAACTCTTTCTAATGACATTTCTCATTAAATCAAATCATTACTTGAATAAGATTTAAATATATTATTGTTGAACTCTGATTTTCAATGTGATAATTCTAAATCTTTTTAACCAAACATTATTTATATTATAATACATAGTTAGGCTCTTGGATTCTCTCCATGGCCCTGAATATATATATTAAAATTAAAATGAATAATTTCAGAAAAGAACTAAGCATAATTGTTTTAAGCAATATTGAAGGCTTATTTTTAATTTCTTTGGTTTTCTGTTTTATCTATAGGTTCAGAGGCAATAACTCAGCTCAAGCTAAATGCTGACAGTCAAATCAATGTTAGTAACAAAGATATAAAGCTAATCAGACTAGCAAATGCTGACCTATCTGATGAAGAATCTGATGAGGATACGTAAGTTAAAAAAAAGAATAAATAAATAAATATTAAAATCTTATTATTATATTATATTAGCATATAAAAACAATAATTATTATTTTCAGACCAATCTCAGTCAGTGCAGTTGACAGAGAAAACCATTCTCTAATAATACATTGTACACAAAAACTTCAGCGAGATGCAACCTATCAAGTTGATATCAAGTTTGAAGGAAAGCTGGGCTCTGACAGTCAGTCCCCTTTTTTCCAGGGATCATACCAAGAAAAAGAAGGTGGAGAACCAAGGTGGAATTCGCATTCTAAAATATTGTATTTTGACTAATTTTTTCTGATTGTAATGTTTTATTGTATGAATAATTATAAATATTATTTAATAATATATTATGATTAACTAAGCAATAAGTTTTTAAGTATTATTTTATAATTATAAAAATATGATAAAAAGTTTTCTCTCCACAAAATGTTTCTCTTATAGATTTGGTAAAATTTGAATTTCAAATGTACCTTTGTAACTTGTAATTGTTAATATTTATATATATTTTTTTTACAGGTGGTTTATTGTGCTATCACCGAAGATATCAGAAACCCGAAAAGTGTTCCCATGCTTTGATTTGCCCTACATTAAGTCTTGGTTTGAGCTGACATTGGCTCATAAGAAAGGAATGACAGCACTGTCAAATATGCCAGTTTTGGAAATATCAAACATGTAATTAGCTATTTTTGTGAAAATAAATCATATTATATTGATGCAGATAACACATATTGTATGTATTATGTTATGTTTAAAAATTGTGGCAATCTTGAACGAAAAGTAGGTTTTAGCCTTTTCATGAAGCAATACCTTAAATAATCTGATGGTTAAATTAATTCTTTGTGTTATTTCATTGTTAGTCATTAAGTATTCCATTATTCCATCATAATGTTACAGCAATTTTATTAATAAAAAAGATAAATGAACTGAACAATTATCAAGCATCTAAATTATGGAATACTGATCAATAACTAATGTAATAACAATTTTAATGTTTCAGTGTATTTTATGCAATTAGCAGTAACCACTTTTCTTATTTTATTGGTTACTTAGTTTGTCTTCCTTTTAATTTAATAGTTGTCCGAATATTTTTCTGAGCTAGTGCAGTTAAATTCTTGTTTAATTTACTTGTTTTTGGATAAATGGTACATCTAAATATTTTGATAATTTAGATAAATAAACTGGTCTCGATGACATAATATTTTACATTACTTGTAAAATTATCTTATTGTCTTCTTTGCATTACCATACAATAAAATTACATGATATCCTTAGTCCACAATGACACCTGCTAATTTTTCTATTTTTAGGTTTGTGATTTTCTACTAGAAATTTTTGTATACAACATTGAGTAGTCCTGCAAAATGAATTTTAAGTGATGTGATAAATTCAGCTATTTTAATCATAATTTCAAACCCAATTTTAGCATGTTAACTCATTTTGTCATTCCATTGTCACTGTATTATTTTGATTACTGTAAGATAACTTTGGGACAGCAAATAAAAAATTTATTTTGCAATGGTTCCGTGGTGTATACAATATCGTTCAGACTGCGAAAACGTGCCTTGTATAGGCATGTATTCCGCTACTATCTTGCGGCAGTTTGAGACCCTAGTTCACTACACTCATGCAGTTAGGTTTTATTTATTTCTATTGCTTTTTTCAAAATTCTTGTTTTCATGAAAATTCCGCTTGTGCTTTAAGACTAGTGTGCTGCAAGATAGTAGCGCAGTACATGTGTTTTTCATGCTGACTGAACCAACATAGTGTATTCACCAAGGAATCACCACAAACTAAATTTTAACCGCTGTCTCAAAGTTATCCATCCAGTCCCGAAGTTACCCCATCTTACGGTACTATAATGAAATTTTTGTTTAAATGTTTTATAAATAAATTTTCTTTAAATTTTTAAGGACAAGAGAAGGCGATTGGATCCGTGCACAATTTTCAAGAACTCCATTGATGACTGTGAGTTCACTTGGACTTTTTATTTCAGACTTCAAAATGCCCGAAGTAGAGTACCTCCAGACAGGTAATCATAAATCAAAAGAATGATAGTTTCAAATAGTTATAAAAAAACTATTATTCTCTTAATATTTAGTGATTTTTATTAAACTTTGTTATTTTTTTCTCAATAAGATTAAGATTATTCTTGATATCGTGATCCAGTAATAATTAGGGATGTATTGTTAAGTTATACAGTTATCTGTTTTGTAGGCTATGCTAACCAAATTTTATTAGTAATTTCAAATGTATTATGGAAATCTATGTAAAAGTATACATATTTACTTTGATGTATATGAAGTATATTGTAATTGATTAACAAGTGAACTGTTACTAGACGGCATTCGCATTGGTCTATGGGGACGATCTGATATTGTTCCAACACTTAAGAAAGCTCAACAAGTCCTGCCTTCTGTTTTGGTCTCATTGGAACTGTACTTATCTCGCCCATATCCTCTTCCCCATCTTAACCTCATTGCATTACCAGGTTACATAGAGGAAAGACCACTCAACTCTTGGGGACTACAATGGTTCAGGTAAGCATAATTATCAAACAGAAGAAGTAAAGACTTAAATAATAATAACCAAGATCAATAAATAGTTTTAAAATCTGTTAAGAAGTATATATTTAAAGCTAATATGTAGCTACAAAAATAAAAATTATTAAGTCTTTTCTCATATTGATAGACTAGAACAGTCATTATTGTGTACCAATTCCATTCTCGGCTTATACTGTAGATACAACTGCCTCATAGGGAAAGCGATCTGATGAATGGCAATTCATACTGGCTGACACATCGTGTTGCTAAGGCTGCAGCTATGCAGTGGCTGTCACACCTCGCCTCTCCAGTCAATGACACTCCTGTGACAACGGGCCTCGCTAACTTCTTGGCTACAAATGTAGCAAAACAGGTAATAGATACGTTTTAATTTATTTAATCTAACTAAGGAGTTTAAAAAAATAATCACTCATTAAAATCATACTCTGAAGATACATTTTGTTAAGGTATTCATATATATATATATATATATATATATATATATATATATTTTATTTTTTTTTATTTTTTTTTTATTTTATTTTTTTTTTTTTTTTTTTTTTTTGTGAATGGGCATATTGTTATTCTGTGAATATCATACTGGTGGAAAAAACAAGTCCAGCAAGTGGGCCTTGAGGTACTTTATACCAATCTCTAACAGCTACATTGAGGTTGCTGGCCCCTATTAACCAAAGTGGAAGTATCTAGATTCATTTATCTGGACTGTACAAAAAATAAATATTAATTGATCCAACTGGGAGTTGAAACAACATCTTTATGAACTAAGCTATGTGTTCAGGAATCATGACCCACAGTAAAACAATCTAAGGACTCAATTTTTGGAAGAATAAATACTCATAATTTTAAAGAGTCTCAGATTGCTTTAGAAGTTATTTTTAAATCAAATAATCTGAGCTGAGATATCATAAGAAGTTACTGAGCCCCTTCTCATAATCTTTTATGTCTGATTAAACAGATCATTGCAGTTAATTTGTTATTTGTATGTGAGATGAGTGATTAGCTCAGTATCCTTTGTTGTATTATATTGAGCTCTCTATGGCTCCTGTTAGGGGTAAAAATTTAGGATATTGTAAAGGTAATAATTAATTTTGTAAGATAAGTTTGATGATATTTGTCCATGATATAGGTTTAGGAGAAAATTAGAGTGGTATACATGTAGATCTACTACATACATACTCAAATTTGTACATCTAAATAGTTACTTTACTATTATTGATCATTTTTTTATACATAATTATTCAAACCTCTCCAGTTTAATTTACAACAAATAAGCACATATGCTTATGCTTTACCTTTGATTTTTTTTTTTTTTATATTTTAGCTTCTTTAAAATCCAATTTTCTTGGTTGATTAAATAACCACTAATTAATTTTAATTATTTACATTTTTTTATAGTTGGAACCAACAATGTACCATTGGAATTTAGGCAGTTTCCATACATTAGTACTAGAACTTGGTAAACCTAGGAACTATGGCTTGGATGCTGAACAAAAAAGATCCCTAATGGAAAGTCGAGGTAAAGAAACAAAATTAAAACCAATGAAAATTAGTTGGTCTACATTTCTTATGAAATTCTGATTGTTAAGATAACATTAATTATGATTCAAATGGCATTGTGTGAAATTGAACAGCTCTTGTAGAGCTTTCCTGACATTTATGGTTTTGTTTTTTCTCTTTTAAAATACTAAATTTCTTATCTTTAAAAATAATATAATATAATAAATAATAGCGAAACAAATAATATAATTTTATCATAAAGTCTGAAGTTTATATTATCAATCAAAGCTATCCAAAGTGAAAATAATTCTTTGTTAATTCAATTATACTTAGTTTGTTATAAATGCATAATACATTTATAAATTGTAATTTAATGTGTAGATTCAAAACATTTGTCACACACTACATTCTTTATACATTGTTATGTATAAAAACATCCTATCAGAAACTTTTTAATAACACCATTTTACCTATTTCAGTGTTCCTGCTTCTTCAGATGTTTGAACAAGTTTTTGGAGCAACAACATTTAAGCAATCAATACAAAACTTCCTCGCAAAAAAGTAATTTCAATAATTAATTGTTCATTTTAAATTTCTATTTAGTTAGGTATATGTATTAAATGAAATCAATGATTTCAAGATAAATAAACTAATATACATTATTGCAGGGGAGGTAAAAGAAAAGGCATAAACCTTCTCACCTTCCTTTGTTTTAGTATCTCTTGAATTTTCACCAAAGCTTAAAGCTTTCTTACTGTTTTATTGACTGAAATATGCTTGACTAGAAATCTTGATTCTACCGATTTCTTTATTTTAATTTAATTTAATATTTTGAGCTTTTACAGTGGCTAGTTAAAGGTTTTTAGGATACTTCATATTTTATTTAATTTGAATTTTCTTAGAGTCAATTTATTCACTTAGGTGGCATTTTTTTGGTTTCATATTTATTTTATTCATATTTTAGGAATAGTTTTATTAATGTAAAAATAATTTCATTGTAACTAAAAATAATTAAATTGATACACAATCACCCTTATGGAAAATAATACCTTACATATCAGTTAAAACATATGCATTGGTATAAAAAATAATCAACTTCCGAAAATGAAGTAGCGTTTATATTTTGTTTATACATCTGAAATGAACACACAATAGCCTTCAATAACATTTAAGTAAATAAATCAACTTGGCATTATACGTTGAAAAAAACAAATTTTATTATCTTTATTTTATTTTTTTTTTTTTATAGAGAGTTTAAAGCTTATTCAGATGAAGACCTTTGGCAGGTCATATCTGAACAGGCGTGGGTGGATAGTAAACTGGCCCTTACAATATCATTAGGAGAAGTTGTACAGGAGTGGTTGTCAGGGAGACTTCCACTTGTCACAGTGGCTACAGATTATTTAACTAATACTACAACTTTTACTCAGGTATTTTTATTTTTCAGTCAATAATAATGCATGATATACTATTCCTGAAATTGATAAATTTACAATTATGAGGCAGAAGAGAATTTATAATTTAGAAACCACTTAAAATTAAAATTAAAACGTGAATTACATAAAACTTCAGTATGATATGATTAAAAAAACAATATAATAAATGTAAAATATAACTATTTACATTATTACTATTATACAATTCTAAACCTCCACTTTACTAACTAATTGATATGTACTTATTTTAATCATTTACAGACCATGGTCATTCTGCTGTATTACGATATAGTTTTATTTTTCAGGAAAAGTATGTCGACAATTTAGAAACAAGTTGGTCCAAGACCGTCAAGAAAGGTGGTGTAGAGAAAGAACAAGGATGGTGGCTTCCACTAGTGGCTGCTGTAGGAAATAGTGAGCCAATGATGATAGGATGGTTAAATCCAAAATCTCATTCCCTTTCTTTTAACAACATATCTACATCGACATATATCGTTCTCAATCCAGGAAGTACTGGTAATTATATTTAGAAACAAAAATATTTGGATTTTAAATCATAGATTTACTAATAACGAAGTCAAATGTCTTGATAGTACAATCAGGAAGCCTATAAAAACATTTTATAGTTACTTTTTCTTCCTTTGATTTAAATATTTATTACTATGGACATTTCTCAGCAAAGATTTTCATAATAAAATTAAATTGCGACAAACAAATTTCTTAATCATAGTATCAATTTCTTAATAACATATATTTTATTTATAGATAACTGAGAAATGAGCCAACAATCTCAAAATTATGTTTCATGATATATTAATGTAAATTATTAAACAAACATATCTCCTGAAAGAAAAAATTTCTTTATTGAAAAATTTATTTCAGGTCCTTATGTTGTAAACTATGATAGCGAGGGATGGAAAAGGCTGATAGCTGCATTCAAAAACTTACCTGTCACTTATCGGTAAGAGTAAGTTTAATGACAAATAATTATTATTTTGAGGTATTTCAAATTATATATGTGTGATTTTGAGGTGTATTTTTCAGTTTTTATTTTCTGTAATCAACTAATAACTTTAGATTAATTCTAGAGTAAAATATTAACATTTAAATTTTTAAGGGGTGATATAAAATCTATTGAAAAAAAAACTTCTTAGGGGAATATATTTGTTACAGAGCACAGCTTCTACATGATTCACTATCTTTAGCTCTTTCTGGACATCTTGATACTGTGACTGCTTTGGAAGTTACATCTGGTTTGAAATCGGAGCAAGCACCTGAGGTTTGGAGGGCATTCTTTCCACTAGCAGACCGATTACGAAATAGATTTCAGGGAACTGCAGCAACACACAATTTAGATGTAAGTCACTGAATAATGAATTGGGTTCAAATTATTCCGAAGAATATATATACATCTTAGCAGTTTATACCATTCCCTTAATATTTTGGTCTATCCAAAATAAATAGATTTTCATCAGTTGTATGAGAGTATTTGCTTCATAAAAAAGTCAAATAAATCATTAATTATGTTGGCTCAGTTGTAATTAATTTATACTTAAAATCAAGATATTATTTGTTAAATAAATATTTATCTATAATCTAATGATTATAAACTGTTTATACAGGCATACTTGAAAAGCCTCTTGATCCCAGTGCTTGATGCTCTTGGAGAGGAAGATAAATCATCTTGGAAGACAGAACTAAGAGTAAGGACTCGACACCTTCTCTGTCAAACAGGCTTTACTCCGTGTGTAGAAGGAGCTAGAACATCTTATGCAGCTTGGCTGAATGCATCCAGTCCTGATGATGGCATACCGTAAATATTTCATCAATTGATATTAATAGTAGTGTAAAAATAAATGTGTGCTACTGAGGTAGCCTATTTGTTGAATCCTTCTTCTCTATGCTCAATGAATCTAGTTTTAGTCCTGGCTAAATATTTTCTTGATGGATGATTAATAATAGAGATATTGAGAATAATGATTCCCAAATCCATTCCACTCTAAAATATGAGTAACTGATGTTAGACAGGGATAAATTGTGTAGTTCAAGCATATTGATGACAACTCTGCACCCCAAGAATATAATAGTATTATAAAACAACTAAAAAATGTATTTAAAGTGATATAATTATAAACTAATCGTGATTAAAAAAAGTAAATTAGATTTATTTATAACCAGATCGAGCATATAGAACTTCATTTACTCCTCTCCCTTCATGAGATAATAGTACTACTGTTTAAAAAAACTATCATATAGAAGTAAATATTAATGCTTTTCATTTTTGATGGCAGAATAGCAAGTGGACATTTATGTCCTGTAATGGCTTGGGGCTCTTATGAAGAATGGCAGTTTGCCTTAGACAGACTGCAAAATTTTCCAAGTAATAGATCAAAAGCAGAGCGAACTTTCTTGATGAAAACTGTTGCTGGGTGCCCTCATGATCCAAAGAAATATGAGACGTAAGTTAACCAGATTTCTTATTGATATTTGAATTGAAAGATTAATTAACTTCACAAGAATATATTATAATCACCTAGCTGATTTATGTGAATCAGTATTTATTGGGTTGACATTGCCAATCTGGTATCATCCCAGCTCAAAATTAAGTTAAAATTTAAAACATGTTTAAGTGATTTACATCGGAAGTTAATACTTATTTTGATTTTATTTATTTTTTAAAAATATTTCTATGAAAGTCTGTAATAATAACCTTATTAGGCATTGGTATGTGGAGTCATTGAAAAAAAATTCATTCAGATTTTGGAAATTTAAAATAATGAGTGAAACAGAGTGATTAAAATTTGTGATCAGTAAAGATATTTGAGTTTACATGTTGAATATTTAAAATGTAAGTGCAGATCCAGATTTAACTACCTCGAAAACTCCTTCCAATCAGATTGAAGTCAGTTAGTTAACAAAGCATTTTTTCAAACATATTGAATTTTTAAAATTAAATTAAAATTCTTTATTATTTGTTTTTAATTTCATTATAGGAATATTTTATCATATTCATAATTTTTTATTACAAAGAATTTTCTCCTATTTTCAGACTTCTAAATATTACATTTTTAAACCGAAAAAACAATAAATTTTCTGATGAAGACAGATTTATAATTCTCTCGGCTCTATCTGGAGAGAGTATTGGTTACACAACATTGTTCAATTTCCTTAAAACTAATTGGCAAGATTTGAAGAAAAGGTATGTGATTAATAAAAAATATTTATTTTAAAGGTATATTGGCTAAACAACAAGGTTGGGCTTTTTAAAATTAGTAATATATAAAACTATAAAAATGCATGTCGTCCATTTTTAACAGAAAATGTGTATTAATGATTTGTTCTTCTTAAACTCATACTTTGAGTATTAAAATACATGATTTAATTTTTAAAAATAAATAAAAAATACTTATACACACTACTGATATCTCCTAATAAGTGCATCAGTTATTCATTACTAATAAAATCATGGTTTTATAGAATCCAAGGAAACTTGTGGGATTACTTTGTACAGACTGCTATGGGTAACTTCCGTACCGAAGAAGGATTGAAGGAGGTAAGTTTTTATTTTTTTAATATTATTTTTGAAACTTGATCTGTTTAAAAATATTTAATAGATATTTAAATTATACTTTCACTAGGAAATACATATAAATCAGTTTTTCATTAATTTAAGACTAAGAGATGCACAGTTGAAAATACTTCATATTTTTCATAACTTTATAAACTGGATTAAAAATAAATTAAATTAAACATTAATTTGAAATTTATAGGTTAGCCAGCTTTTAAATGAAAGAAGAAGTGAATTCGGAACAGGACTAAAAGCTGCTGAAGACAGTGTTTCTCGAGTGGAAGGTAGAGTTAAATGGGCTAAAGAAACGACACCTGGAGTCTTAACATGGTTAAACAAAACATTGGAAGAGGCTTGGACACCACAAAGATTCAAGTTTCACGATGTTCTAGTTCTTTCACATAAGCCACAACCTTAATTGTTTATATTTGACCTCTTCTGAGAGTTTCTGTAAAAATGGTTATAATTAAGAATATAAAATGTTATATGTAAAAATGGATATTTTTTTTATGTGAGATGCGTAATTATTTTATAAATGTACATATATTTGTTAAAATAAAGACTTTTATTACCTTGTTTACGATTGCTGTATATGACATGTAAAAAGGAAAACAATTCAATTCATAATAAAAAATATATATAACAATAATAATTTCTTAATTATTGATAGATTAGATAAATAAGGTTATTATTAAAATTATACATTGATGATTATACTGTGGAAAATTAGTAAATATATTAGACGACTGGTCCTTATTGTAATGAATAACCGATGAAAAGAAAACAAGATTTATTGAAAAATAAATCTTATAAATTTAATGTGAGCTAAAAACAAAATTAATTTATTGTATATGTGATGATAAGAAAAAATATTTATTAGTAAACAATGCATTAAAGTAAACTAAAAGTGGTCCGATTCTTCTTAAATTATAATATTAACAGACCTCAAAGAAAAATGCTGAATATATTCAAGGAAACTGAATATATAATAATGAATGGAAAAACACATTTACATATTTTCCATAGTCTAATCATATATTACATCTACATTAAACTTGGATTTTATTTAAAAAAATTGTGCTTTTACGACATTCAACAACACCTGGCTTTGAGTAGATCTTTCTTTTTTTTTTTTTGCAAAAACATTTTTACAGTGAATCATTTCAGTTTATAATCATTCAGGATACTAGGATTTAAAATTATCCGAGATGTCCACAAAATTACATATTTTGAAATATATATATTATAAAACTATAAAATTGTGCTCCTCATACATCACACTGTGGTCATGAGTCTACAATATTTTTTTTTTAATCTATTTTGATCATTTCTCTTTTACGATTCAATGAAAAAAACAATAGCGATGACTTTTCTCTAAATTATGAATTTTTTCATTGAATCAAATATCCTTATTCTAATTACAATGAGTTGTTCAGGAATAGATTTTTTTTAGTCAAGTTTTCAACTAGCTATTACTACTCCACTGTTTCCTCGGAAATGAGTTCCTTCACTAAAAGGTAATCATGCATATGGTTCAAAACTGAAGTATTTTGTAATTAATTTGAGTTTTGTTGATTCTAGAATAATTTTAACCTTGTCTCTGGTGTTTGATTTCATTACCATCACACTGAAAATTATAATATGTATTTTCAGCAATTTTCTCTTGAGATAACAATTTTCAGAGCTGCCTGTAATATCCAAACCTTACACTATGGTTCAACCTTCTGCCTAACTACAGTAGAAAAGTGGCAAAGTTTATCCTACAGTATTGATTTGAAGTTATAAAAATGATTAACTCTCTTCTGTGATGTTTTTATCAACTTATATTACTTTGTGTTAACAGTTTTTTGCTCATAAATATGAACTTAAAATATCATTCAGCACTCATTACAGTCTCAAAATGAAATCATCAATGATGTGGTAACGAAACTGTAATTGAATATTAGTTACTATTATCAACTAATAACTGTTTCTTTCTCAATTTCTTCAACTTTATTCACCATTTGAAATACAAACAGTTTTTAATCACAAGACATTCTACTTTCTGACTCGTAACTATTGTTAGCAGCAAGTAAAAGTGTATTCAGGTAAGTGAAGATACTATTTCAAATATGCTCCTCACTGTACATTGTTAAATAAAAATTTTGGTAGGTTTTTCATTACCAAATTAAAATCAATCACCTACTCAGGAATCAACTTACTCACTGTCTGTACAGATATTATATTTTCTAACTAGAAATATCAATAAAATTACTTTACTCAAAAATGTTGAAATTGGAATTAGTCATTCTATCAACCGAAAGCCTCCTTTAATTGATTTATCCTTTATATCAAAAACATTTAAAATTTGTGAGGCATAAATATATACAAATAATATCCATATTACTATGGATATCACAATATAGATAGATAGATAGATAGATAGAAAAAAAAACTTTATTCTGGGACTAAGTCCCTTCAGAATAACAATAATGTACAAAATAATAGAATATTACTGGCCTGAACGTTGAAACAATAAATAAAATTGATAAAATAAAATAAAAAGTAAAGAAAACCTTAGGTGCACAAGCTATATACAAACAGATAAAACTATGTACAGAGCATTTAAAATTATGAACAAAACAATTAAAACTATGAACGAATCACTTGAACTATGAACAAAATTATATTTAAGGGTTGAACAACATAAACATACACTTTGAGAAATGAAGAACGAAAAAGAGATACAATGAGTTCATTTCATAAAAAAAAAAACTTTACTTGAATATATATATATAAAAATAAACAGTTACTTATAATTGAATAAAAAAAAAAAAAAAAAAAAAAAAAATGTATGTATTGAAATTCCTACGTCGATAGTAGGAAATGCATGTACTATCTCTTACCAAGTGTTATGATTATATGATTGCTACACAATACATATATAATATCAATAGTTAGCTGGTATCAGACTGTTTTTGGAACAGGAATTGGAATAGGAGGTTTTTGAATGTATACAGGGAAGGGGCATGTCGAATTTTGATCGGGAGGGAATTCCAAAAGTTGACAGAGCGGGCTATAAAGGAATTTTGGAATGAGGCAGATCTATGAGAAGGGATGTATAGGTCAGAGGGTCGGGATCTTGTAGTGAGTGAATGGATTGAGGACTTAAATTGGAGAAGGTTGTAGGCATAAGAAGGACGATGGTCGGTAATGATTTGATAAAGGAAAGTGCCAAGGAAATATTGTCTTCTTAAGGAGGGGAAGAGCCACCCTAACTCAGTGTAGTGGTGGGAGACACGGGAGCGTCTCGGGGTTCCAATTACAAATCTTACGAAACAATTCATAAGTCTTTTGAGTCTATCACGCAGTTCCACCGAGAGGCCATCGTACACCACACAGCTGTAGTCAAAGTGGGGAAAGATGAGAGAGGAAACTATGAGTCTACGGGTATTTTGGGGTAGAAGATGGCGGAAGTGATGGAATAGTTTGAGGGTAGAAATTGCACGGCGGGATATATGAGAGATATGGTGATTCCAGGAAAGGGTTTGATCTATGAGAAAGCCTAAATTTTTAACAAAGGGATAGAAGGTGATGGGGTGGTTGTTTAGATAGAGTGAGGGAAAGTTGGTGTGGGATCTAAGAAGAGGCTTGGAACCAACGAGAATGGCCTGAGTTTTGGCAGCATTTAGCCTTAATCCATTTAAGTTGGCCCAGGCACTAATTCGATCTAAATCTTCTTGAATTTTGGCAAATGCCACCAATAACTCAGCGGGAGAAAAGGATAAATAGATTTGAGAATCGTCGGCATAAAGGTGGTGGGAACAATGGATAATTGAATCATTTAGGTCATTAATATAAGAACTGAAAAGAAGAGGAGACATGCTTGAACCCTGTGCAACTCCTGAGGATAAAGGAAGGTAGGCAGATAGAGGTTGATTAGGTATGGAAACTGCTTGGGTTCGTTGTGAGAGGAAAGACTGGAACCAAGAGATGGAACTATTGGAGAAGGATAATGATTTTAATTTGTTGAAAAGGATGGAATGGATAATGGAATCGAAAGCTTTGGAGAAATCAAGCAGTATAAGTATGGTTAGTTTTTTGTCATCTATTGCAGTCTGGATATCACTAGTAATTTTAATCAGAGCAGATTGTGTAGAGTAGCCAGGACGGAAGCCAGATTGGAGAGGATCGAGTTGGTTGGATTGTTCAAGGTAGTTGGAAACTTGAGATTGCACTAACTTTTCTAGGGGTTTAGAAAGATTGGAAAGGATTGATATTGGGCGGAAATCTTCGGGAGAGGATGGATTAGGCTTTTTGTTTAAAGGAAGGACAATGGCTTTTTTCCAAGAGGTCGGGAATATTGAATTCTGCAGGGAGAAATTGTAGATGAAAAGGAGTGCTGGGAGGATTTCAGGGAGACATAATTTTATTAGTTTGATAGGAATGCCATCTGGGCCTACGGAATTGGAACGGGATTTCATTATAACGGTAATAAGGTCTGTGGGAGAAATGTCGGAAAAAATAAAAATTATTGTCGTTAAAAGGTACCTCTGGAGGAAAGCCGGAAGGGGATGGTAAAGAAGAGGTGGAAACCGATATAAAGTGGGAGTTTAGGTGATATTGGGAAAACTGAGGAAGGGGATCTAGAAGGTTCACAGAGGGAAAGCTTACGAAGTAGAAGCCATTTTGATTTGATATCAGGAGCTGAGGAAAGGGCTTCGTGAAAGTAGTTCGCTTTCGCTTGTCGGATCCTTGTCTGTGTCGTGTTACGAAGCACTCTGAATATTTGATAATCATCTGCAAGCCTAGTCCGTCTGAAGCGTCTGCGTGCAGCGTCGCGTCTCTTCTGCAGATCCTTAATTTCCTGACACATCCAAGGAGCAGGACGATGACGGAAAGTGGAGGTTTTCAGAGGAGCGTGGGTATTGAGTATATTGAGAAGATTGGTGGTGAGAATATCAACCATGGTGTCGACAGAGGAGCAATGATATATTCCATTCAAATCCAATGTTACTAGATCAGGTAATATTTTTTCTCAAGTAAGGGTATCCAGTTGGCGGAAAGTGATAGTTCGAGGATGGATTGGAGGAGTGCGGATATTATACGTTATTTGTATCAGATCATGAGATGAAAGAAAGGATACTGGCAATTGAGAGGCGGAGAGGAGGTTTTGTGCTGAGTCGATGATGTAGTAGTCTAGCCAAGTGTCAGATCTGGTGGTGTGGTGGGTGGAGGAAAAAGGAACGATGAATAGGTGAAGTGAGAAAAACATATAATACACAATATAACTTATTTATATGCTGACGATTCCAAATCTTCTTTTCCTTCCATCCTGCCAAGATATGCTTGAGGTAATCCGAAGGCTACAAGAAGACATTGACAGTATTAATACTTGGGCAGTGAGCAATGATTTAAAGTTGAATTTGAGAAGACCAAAGCCATTCTCATTAGTTCCAAGCATCTGATTAATTTCATTCCTTATTATTGCCTACTCTAGCTCACTGGGCTACAAATCCGTTTTCACACTTCTGATAGAAACCTTGGTGTAATGTTTGATCAATACCTGGAATATTCATATTTTCCAAATATTCCGAAAATCCATTGCTACCCTCAAACAACATTCCATGATTCCATGCCCCTTAAAATCTGTCAGCTGATAGGTTTTCTCTTTCATTTTCCCTCACTCCAATTATGGCAGCTTTGTAAGTAATGGACTGTCTCGTGGGCTTGTGATCAGTTTAAAGAGACTAATGAATTGCTTTATTAGATTAATTTTTGGAGTCCCCAGGTACTCCCAAATTTCTAATTGCTATGACGAGTTCAAGTGGCTCTATCCAGTCTTCTGACGGCAATATTTCCTAGGTGTATTCCTTTTTCCAACCTTTTCATCCAAAAAACCTTACCTTTTCGATTTGTTTACTCCTTGTTCTTCTGTCCATTCATTCAACACGAGATACCAGCCCTCAAATCTGTTTATTCCTTCTCACAGAACTATTTCATTTAACAAATCCTTTGTCATAGGTGCTACCTTGTTTTTTGAATTCCTACTAATCTCCATGCACAAATCCTCATTTATTTTTCCATCTCCTCAGCAATCAATCCTTCGAATATATGTAAAAATAATGTTTACGTTTTACTGAATTGTCAGCCACATTAAAAATGTTATCTTACAGATAATTATACATCATCCCCATTGATTATATACAAATATGTGAACTCACACATATGAAGTTATCTATAATTTCATATGTCTACTAGTGCCTTTTCTTCATTTTAATTTTATTTTTAGACAACTTTGTAATTTAAGTTATTCTTAATTGTTTTTCTAATGGCAGACAATTGTCATTTAATTAATCATTGCAATTATTTTTAGGGGACTTACTGACACACAGTAAAATTTACTTTTCTTCTTCATCTACTAAATAACTTAGGAACTCTTCAAATAGTGAGGTTCCATTTACAATTATACTTAGCCTTTCAAAGGTTTTGTTGGTTAAAGAATATTGAAATTTTGTTAATACCAGTTTTTCTTTTTTAAGCATCATACTTAAAATACAAAATGTAGGTATGTATTTATATCTAGTTGGGTATAATCCATCATTTAATTGTTTAGTATCAAGAATTCTTAACCTTAATCCCACTTGGGTGGAAACATCATTGAGATTTATATATATGTGTTACTTTGATCAAAGGAATGTAAGGAAAACAAATTAAAAGGAGACTTTTGAACAATAACGTTTTCCAAAGACTTATTTTTTTCTTGTACTGTGAAAATATCCTCATTCCTTAGACCTCTTGAATTTGACTGAAACGTATAGCACTTAAGGTTGGTCAAATCAATAATTCAAGAAAAAAAAAAAGAATTATACTAAGCAGGCCAAAATATCAATTCCTTATTTGGAAAACAGGAATAGGAAGGATACTTAGCGGGCAGGTTATCTATTCATAATCAGAAACAAAAACATTCTGGCTAATAAAAATATTTATTAATATTAGTAACAAAATAATTTGTTAGCATGATGACTATTTTTAAAAACTTTTTATAGTAAAATTTATGATTTATATAAATTAAATTAAAATTAGAGGCAATACTGTTAAAAAGTAAGAATTGTAACAAAATAATTGAGGTTATCGTGCACCACACTGAAGCCAGTTCATCAGGGCACCTATTATTATAAAAATTAATAAACTTAAAAATTAAGTACGTTAAAGTAATTAATTTAAAATGTAAAATAAAAAAAAATAATAAAAAATTAAGATCTAAAGCTCTTACATAAATAAATAAACTTAAATATATAACATACACATACTATTGCACTACAGAAATAATTAAATTTTTAAAAGTAAGCTAACCAGATCATTTAAAACACTAATTTAAAATCGAACCATGATTAATTAACATGCATATAGCAAAATTACTAAAAACTAAACAAATTGTAAGTAATTTTAGAATTTTAAAGGGATTAGGGTTCAAAATAAAAATGATAAAATATTTTAAAACAATAGTTTTTAGACATGAATTATCAGTTTTGACACATAAATAGACTAAAATACATAAAGAACAAATACTGAGGAGTATTTAATACATGATAAAAATACATAATATTGATACTTATGCTGAAAAACTAATAAATAATGAACATTATCACAGAAATTTTTAAAAAACATTTAATAAATAATATCATTTGTATAGCTATATAGCTAACCCTTGATGAAGATTATTAGATGGGTAGAAGAAGGTGATTCAGAAACACCTATCTTTAAAAAATTTACTTAAATCTATAATGTAGGTAAAGTTTAAATTAATCAACAGACAGAAATACTGTGATCTCGTGTTGTGGGATTATTTCAACAACCTTGGGTAAGTTACCTGAGGCAATAATAGGGAAGTTACAGAAAACAAGACATCATGCCACACTAAATGTGAGCTTGTTTTTATCACATTGATAACAAATAAAAATCTTGTACAATTTCACTAAATTATCTACAATTAGACACAAATGCAACAAACTACTGTAAGGAATGAGAATTAATAAATTATTGGGCTCCCTAAAATTTACACATTCTTTTATAATAAATCTCTATATACAACCGTTCCCTTTTACTTGTATTACAAAAATAAAAATTTAGGGAAGTATTAATAAGTGTAGGAGCTCGAGGCGATGAGGCCCAAGCATAAAACAAGATAATGCACGAAACAGTCTTAAATTAACATTAATTAAGGTAATTAAATTTTATGTTCCCTGGACGATTCGTAACAAGGCTAGAGTTATGTACTGGAAAGGATCCTATTTCTCTTCCACCTTACTGATGAGATCATCGCAGATCTTGGTCAACTCTTCTACCTCTCTCTTCTTTTGTTCTAATGATTCTTCAAGTGATTTTATCCTGATTTCTGTTTTCCTATTGATAGCATTCATTTTAGCAGTATCTGACACATGCGAGCTTTGTAATCTTTCAAGCTCAATGTTTGCTCTAGAAAATAATAATGGCAGGATAGTAAAAAAACAACAAAGAAAACATAAAAATAAAAATATACATAAGACATTTCTAAATTTATCAACAATAATACAATTTTTCTTAAGCCAATATAAAATACTAATATAATCACTAGATCCATTTTAATTCATATTGATTTATTTTAAAATAATCTTTGACTGCTTGCACATTACTGTTATTACCCAATTACCTGTTCCTTTCCTCTCTTCTCATGACCGCATCCAACTGTCATACAACAATCACCTACCGAATAAAACAAATGAATACCTAGAAATACCTTCCTAAAACAATCACCTTCCGCAATATAAATTCCCTAACTCGTGAAAGCATCCTGCCCTATATTGAAATCCTGGATTGGAATGATGTTTACACTTGCTCCTCGATTGATACCATGGCAGATATCCTGACTTCTAATCTCCTCCATACCCATGCCCCTCTTAAAACTTCTACATTCTGCTCCTTGGATGTGTCAAGAAATTCGAAATATGCAAAAGAGATTTGAGGCAACCAGTAGACGCTTTAGAAGAACCAGGCTTGCAGATGACTACGAAGCGTTCAGGGTACTCCGTAACTTGACGCAAACAATGACCAGGCAAGCGAAAGCCAATTACTTTCATGAAGCCTTCTCCTCTGCTCCCGATTCTAAATCCAAACGGCATTTACTTCGAAAGCTGTTTCTTTGCAGATCATCTTCCTCCTTGGTTGTCCAAGTTTCTTCGGATGCTTTAAATTCCTCCTCTAGTCAATAGTGACAATTATTATTTTTCCTACATCACTCCTACGGACTTTATTTCCACCATAATGAAATCCTAATCCGACTCTATGAGAATTGATGGAATGCCCATAAAAATGTTAAATTATGCTTCCCTGAAATCCTTCCAGTACTTCTATTCATTTATAATTTTTCCCTCCAAATTATTTTTTCCCTACCCCTTGGAAAAAAGTCTTAGTTCATTTTATTAATAAAATCCCATACCCCACCACTCCTAAAGACTATCGTCTAATTTCCATCCTCTCTAATATGTCAAAATCTCTCAAAAGAATATTCCAATCCCAAATTTCCAATTTCCTCGAAGAGTTCAAACTTTTAGATCCTCTCCAATCTGATTTTCACCTGAGATTCTCTACTCAATCCGCTTTAGTCAAAATCACAAATGATATACATACTGTAATTGGCGAAAGAAAACTGACTGTATCAGTACTCCTGGACTTCTCCAAAGCATTCGATTCCTTAGACCATTCTATCCTCTTGGCTAAAATAAAATCTCTATCATTCTCCAATAGTTCTATTCTATGGTTTCGATCCTTCCTTTCTGACCAGACTCAAGCTGTTAGTATCCCAAATCAACTCTTATCTTCCTTCCTCAATCTGTCTCATGGAGTAACCCAGGGTTCAAGCATTTCCCCTCTCTTTTTCAATTCTTACATCAATGACCTTGTTAGTTCAATCCACCATTACTCATACCATCTATATGCTGATGACTCCCAAATTTATCTAGCCTTTCCGCCCACTGAGTTATTAGAAGCGTTTAACTAATATCCAGATAGAGCTAAATAGGATCAGTGCCTAGGTAAGCTTGAATAAATTAAAGTTAAACGCAACGAAAACTCAGGCCATTCTAATCATTTCTGACTCTCTCCTTAGACCCATTCCCACCCTTCCTTCCTTGATTATTAATGACCAACCAATCTCCTTTACCTCCTCTGTAAAAAAAACTTAGGAATTACCATTAATCAAAACCTATCCTGGAAACCCCATATTGCTCATATCTCCAGGTCAATTGGTACACTTAAACTATTCCATCGTTCTCGTCAGCATCTCCCACAAAATATCTGCAAGATCCTTGTTTCCTCATTGATTTTCTTCCACTTTGACTACAGCGGCCTCTCGTTGGTGCTTGAGGACAGACTGAAGAGAATCATGAACTGTTTTTTTATGATTCGTACTTCGAGATGGTCTCATATGTCTCACCTGTATGCCGAGTCAAAGTGGCTCTTCCCGCCGCATATACTTCTTTGGAAATTTCTTAAACCAAACGATCAACTCCCAGCATTCTTCCTATATCTACTGTATTCTTCAGCCTAAACCCTCAGTTCCCTCAATAAAATGAGATCCCGTGTTTCTGACCTCTATATTCCATTCCATAGGACAAAAACCTATGAACGTTTCTTCTTAACCTTCACCGTTACCTTCTGGAATTCCTTGTCACATAACATCCGTCATGCCTATTCCCTGTCATCTTTCAAGTACCTCCTTACATCCTAACCAGACAATCCGCAACCATTTCATTTTATGAAATGAATTAATTCATTGTGAGAAGTAAATGGTGATGCCTACTGTTTAAGTTTTAGCATAAATCATCAATGATCTTTGTCACCTAGTTTAATTATTATTTTTACTATTTATTTGTTTTTCTCTTCACTTGCTTTTTCTTCCTGGGTATAAATGTTTATATGTGTATGTATGTATATATATTTCTTTTTTTTTCCATTACAAATATTCCTCCATTACAAGTACTACAAGTATTCCTGAGATTTTAATTTTTATTTCTTTTAGTGTTTGAATATTATTATGTAAATCACTGTAGATATTATTATATTTATTATTACGTTAGTTTTTTATTAGTTAGCTTATTGTTTATAAATTGTGAAGTTATGAATATATAAATATGTTATTTATTTTTTTCTTCCATCACAGTAATAAGTAATTTTGAGAAGATTTCATATTCATTTGTTTTTATATTTTTTAATGGTTACACACTATTTTTTAAATTAATGTATATAATGTTAGAATTTTTTTAAGTCAGTTTTTGGCTAGATTTGTATTTATTCATCACTGTTATGCTAAGGGGACTTAGTTCTATTCTATTATTGTTAAAAAAAAAAAAAAAAAAAGCTATGAAATAGAATTTTTTTTGTTCTATATTCAGAAAGTAATAATAAAAAAAAAACAAAAAACACTACAGCCCATGAAGGGTCTTTGGGTTCAGTACTATTTAGGGAAAGCACTGTTTCCAGGTCAACAGTTGTCACGCTCAACCGCCAGGTTTTCCTCCTTAATCACTTAATCAGAAAGTAATAACATTTACAATAAAAAATTACAATTATGTATAAATTAATCTGATAAACTTTTTTCTGACTGATCATCATTTGTATCATACTCTAAAATGAAACAATAGGTTAATAAAACCTAAAATATGCGATGAATACTTTTGATTAAAATCTATTTTACTTATCATCTAACAAAAACTCTGCCAATCGTTGTTCCATACTTTGCTGGGCTATCATTTGGATCATTTAACATATATAAATCGAATGTTGTGTCTTTTGAGAAATCAACATTGGAATCTCCACACAAAATCATTGGTAATGAGATACTTTAATCCAAATGTTTAAAAAAAGAAATTGCTATAATTTGAGTTTTGACACTACCTTTTCCCTTTTTTGGCTCTCTAACATGATGTCGCGTCAAGATAAAATTTTGAATAAATCATTCCGCTCACATACAGTATGCAGGTCCGATTTTTAATTTTTGAGATATTTTAATCCAAATGCAAAAATTAGACGAGTTTACTTTACCTAAATGAACATTACAAAGCTGAGCAGAACGGCTCAGACCCATTCAATATACATAAAATGAAATGCTAAGTGCACCTAAAGAAATTTAAACTTTAAAATAAATTTGAGGCTGGATTATTCTATAACTGAAGTTATAGTAATATAGATCTGTTCTTATTGTCGTTTGGTAACGTTAAAAGTCTATTGGTCTACAAGGGGACAATTCTAGACCAACAGAATTTAATTCTTATTTAGAAAAAGTGAGTTCCGAATATTTATGTGAGTAGCTTAGTTACATAGTTTTTGAAGAAGTTATATTGTCAAAAACTGATTGACAAAAATTAACACATTGAAGGCGAGAGTGGTAGTACTACGATTTATCTCGACTACTGCTTAAAGGCGGGAGATACCCCGCCTTTAATGTGTTAGTTTATTACAAGTTCATATACATAATTAATAAATTAATTGAATTAACACTTACTCTTCAAGTTTTTCAGTAGCATGAGCTTTAAGTCGCAAGTAATTTTCTTCCAGCTGTTGAATGGTTCTTTCATTTTCAAGAAGTGATGTTTTGTAAGCTTCTTCATTTTGTTTAAAAGCTTCTATAACAGCTTTACACCTTTCATATTTCCTTAAAAGGTAAAATAATCAAATCAATTAGTTCATAAGTATTTATTATCACCACAAATATTATTATAGCAAGGCTCGAAATTGGTTTTGTACTAAATATAAGCTTCTGTCATGCTCAAATACCATAGAATGGGGTACCGTTGGATTTACAATTTCATGGGGGTTTAGCGAATTATACTCTTCGCTTTTGTTTACTTATACTGGAACAGTGGTAAGTCTGTAGATCGATATGGAACAAATTGGACTTTGAAGAATTAACGCGTACAGCTCTGCATTCTTAAGCCCCAAAACATACTATTTTCGAGATAACACAAGGCAAAGGGTTCGCATCCCCACAACCTTACGTTAATTGTAGTACTGTCATTGAATACATGTCTCATTTCGTCGACCTGAGGCCCCTATGTCTGAGAGAGGAGGAGTTTATTATTATTTATCAAAGGTGTTTATTGTCGGTAAGCCACATCATCGTTAATTCTTCACAGAATCTCATGATTGAGCCACCAATTTTGAAGGTTTCTTTCTCCTTCAGGGGGACAAAATAGTCCAACCACCCTGAAAACTCAGGAAAAAAAGTTATGAAAAAAAAAGAAACTTTATTTGCGAATAACTCTAAAATTAAACACTTTTCCCGTTATATCTATGATTATATAAAAGATTACTAAATTCCCTACAGAAAGAAAAAAAAATCATCGAAATCGGACTATTTTTAGCAAAGATAACAGCTTAGTGAAATTTGTAAACATGTTGGTTCCAAACATTAATGAAGTTTAAAATTAATTTTTGTTTCATTTGTCGAATTTATTTAGCGAGAAAGTAACAATTGATTTCTTTTATGATACATTGCACTGTTTTATTTTCTTATTAATTAGTATTTGATCACTGAACAATATACTGGTAAAATTTTTGCACGGGCCTACTGGTAATGTTAAATTGGCCAAATAACTTTCAATATTAATGGTTTCTATCAGATTTCAAATTTTATAAAATAGACATCAAAGTAAAATTATAAGACCTCATTCATTTGGAGACAAAGAAAAAAAACAAACTATTTTTATGGAGGAACTATGCACAAAACAAAATCTTGTTCCCACAGCAGGTTTTCCCTCTTGTTCTGGATTAAGATTTGTAAGTTAATAATACACAATACTTTGGCAAACATATGATTTAATCAGATAAAATTATAAAAGAGTCAAACAAGTGGAACTAGAGACAGTAGGTTATTTGTAATAAAACTCTGGCAACATGAAGTAAATGGATGATTGTGATTAAACAACACCTCTTATATTGCAGTGTGAATATGGTACCAGATATAATAAAAATAAATATTGCACCAATAAAGATTACTTTTGAAATACGTAAACAAAATTTATTTTGAATAAACTTATTATTAATACTTAAAATATAAAAAAGGGAATCTCATAACATATAACAGTAAAGAAAAAAAATTCTTATCAAATAATTAAGATCATAGTCATCTATAGAAACTTGACAATTAATATTAAATATAATTGTTAAATAAAAAGAAATATTACTGGTGAATATCATTGAAGGCAATTTCCATATTGCTTAGATGAGCAAGAGCTGTATCCCGCTCTGCTGCAATGGCTTCCTTAGCGGATTCAAATTCCTTTTTTTCATCCTCTCTTTTAGCTACAACTTGAGCAATAGTTTTCTCATATTCTTCCATTATCATTCTGTAAAATAAATTTATCAAAATTCAAAAGTGATGTATTATTCAAAATTATCTCATTAAAAAAACAGAAAAATAAAATATAATATTAATGTCCGCATGGATTGATAAGTATGCTGTGTACGAAGCAACGCTATGTAGTAGGGCGGCATTACTTTTAATAAAGTATTTCCCTCTAATAAGTAATATTTATAGGAAGTAAAAACTATACTAAAATCTCGAAAGGTAACAATTTAATTTCAGATAAACAAACATATAAAAAAATATTAAAATAAAAGACTTTCATTTTTTTAAAATATATAAGATTGAAACTGAAATTGAAGCTTTAACTAAATAATTAATAAAAACAATTACAAAGATATGTTAATGCTGTTAGAATTGAAGACTTTTTTTATTGAGAAATGATATTAAAAATTTACCGGTGGTAACATAAGTTGTATAGTGTGAGAAGAGTGTAGAAAGTAATGAATGATCTATTAAGCTACAGCACTAATAATATATTAAAAAAAATGTATTTATTCTTTATAAATTTATACAGTCTCTTACATTAACTGGCGTTTGCAAGTAAGACTCTCTTCCAATTCTTTCTTCAATTTATCAACCTAAAAGTTAAAAAAACAGCTAACGTTAACGGCCAAATAACAAATTATAACAGATTTTTAAATATTAACAAATATGAGATAAACATTACATATGACATTTGTAACATATCTATTTACTGAATTTTAGAACATGAGCAATGATTGAACATGAGGTCATCTCTGCTTAAAATTAATTAAAGAAGGAAACATGTTATTTTGTTTCAATATAGTGTCCAAAATTCAAGGCACTTCACATCAATTTATTGGATTATAGTTAAGCTTCAGATAAAAGGATAAAATGCAGTGTTCAAACTTAAGAATGAATTTGAATGATTAAAAAGATTTTATCCCAGCTAGAAGAATTGTAACTTACATGAAGGAAATGGAAGAAGGATAGGTGTTTTGGTCTTGTTATTTCTCAATATAACATCTTTGAAGTTCAATGGACTTAGTACAAAACTTTCAATACCATGAACAAAATAATTTTCTTCTTGGCTACAAGAATGTTCTTCCAATCCTACCTGGACCTACTTTTAACTCTAGCATTAATCTTCCACCCTCACTCTCTGGCTCCACAAAAGACGAGGAAGGTGAAGATAGAAAAAAAGTCTTAGCATGCTAACTTCCCTTTAAGTAAGAGCTTTTTTCTAGCTTTCTTAGAGTTAGATAGAGGAAAGAAAAATACGACAATCCTCTTCTCAATATTATATATACATGTTAGCATGCAAAAAGCATTGTAGGAAAAATGAAATTATTAGACAAAAACTAAAAATTCATGATGATTAACTGTTTTTCAAGCATAATTTCCGATCTTCAAGTCACTGGACACCTTGCTTAAACAATATTAAATTTACCAAAATATTAGAAGGGATATTGGAGAGGATTCCAGTTATACTGTTATCTGTTAACTTTTTTTTTTTCAGTGATTTCATAAAATAGATCTTAACACTACCATTATGATTAGTAAGACATATAAACCTCATGGCATTATTTATCAATGGTTGATAAAAGAGATAAAAAGGTCTGTTTGAAGAATTTATTTCCTCAGAAAAGCCAGTAATGAAAAGAAAGGTGACTCAAAAAAAAAGAAAAACTTGATCAATAAGGAGTTCTAAATCAGAATCCATCGAGATACATGATACTTCTCAATCAACATTTTACAAGTTGCACAGTGATTACTGAAAATCTGCATGTCATATACCATCTTTAGGAAAAGCAATCAATATTCCAATAAAAATATGTTTGAAATAAACTCTGACCTGTGATTGGGCATCAGTTAGTTTTTTCCCTAGGCTGTTGCCAGTTTCAAGTTCAGCTAGCCTCTTTCTCAGATTTTCTACCTCTTCTGAACGGGACTGAATGGCTTCCTCGTATGACTCCTCATGTTTAATCATCAGGTCTTGAAGTTTGGAAATTTCTCTGGCAAGGATTTCCTGCCTCGGAGAAGGTGTGCCCTGGGACAGGAAGAAAATTAATATTATAAAATATTGAAATGCTAAGGAATAACAGAAGATTCAGGGTCTCTTAAAATATTATTTATTATTGATTGTTATAATGTTCATTATCATGGTAGGATAAAATATCATTGTTAGCATTATCAAAATTTAAAATAATGAAAATTACCACTGATTGTTTTGCTTTGTTAACTGCGCTCAGCTTACTAGTAGGAGTACTATCTTTTTCTTTCATACTGGACTCTTTAGTTTCGAGCTTTTCACTATTCCTACAACAACCAAAACCGAAAATCAACCACCAAAACTATTTAACATTTAATTAAGATTTATTTATTATCAATAATTAAATAAAATTTGACTGAATGTGAAATTTGCAATCATCAAATTGCTTTGCATTAAGCAATTTTTGTTGACTGCTCGGAGAGCATCCAATCATCCAATCTAACTTACATAAGATGAGAATAATATTACTTAGATTTTATAAATATAAACTTATTTTAAGATTTAGTTAAAAATGTAATCACATTAAAGAATCTAAAGATAAAATAACAAATTATTTCGCAAGATAAAAGTTAGAAAAATTACTTATTTTTGAGTAGAATGTTAAATAGAATAGTTTTGGCATAAAAGTAAAAAAAAAAAAAAATCATTACTCACATTGATTTTTCTGTAGAAGTGCTAATATTCTTGTTGGATGCTGAGAACCTTCCACTTTCACGTATAACTAGAAAATTTAAATCAGAAATAATTTTTTTTTTTTTATTGAGTATTAATACAGTCTGCCACAGTGAAGGGCATTGGTACTAGGGATATAGTATTCATTCACACAATATGTACATAAGAAAGGGGGAAAAAATATGTATATATATATATAAAGATAAAGTAATATACAAGATAAATAAAATAACAGATGAAATAAATTATGATAAAACAATTGAGTGACCTCATATCAAATACGGACATCTGTCCATTTTAAAATGTTGAGAAAAAGCAAATTTTTACTTTATAGGTTCAACTCAAACTGTTTCTAATAATTTTATTTAAGAATGTTCAAGTTGAATGATTAAAAAAAGTCATTAAAATTGGTTTTGAATTCAAGATATAAATAAAAAAATGACTTTTTCTGCACTTTCTGACTATGGCAGAGTCCATCTTTGATATGAGGCTACTCAATTACATTTAAGTACCATAAAAGGCTAATTTATTTAAAGAAGAAAATTTATCTGTTCATATCGCAAAATAAATGTTATTTTAAAAATGAATGTAACTCATTCTCCAAATAGAGAATAATTAATAAAAATACAACAATATGTGATTAAAAATAAATTTTAATGAAGTATATTTGCAAAATAAGATTACATGATTTGAAGAATGTATGTGTTTTGACCAAACCTTTCAAGATCGTTCATGAGGACAATCTTGCTTAAAGGGAATCCTTATTTAACAAACTTTAAATCACTAGAATCATGTGAACATAAAGAAATCATGTGAATGGAAATCGATAGCTGTGATTTATTTGAAAAAGAGTAGGCATAAAACATATTTTGGTCGTTATAACATTAGATAGATAACAGCGAATAAATTCCATTCCGCCAATTTATTAACATAAAACAGATTTATTGTCAGGGGAAATAGGACTCATAGCACATTTATTTTATTTTTATTAAAAACAATTACCAAGAATGGTAGTGAATAATACAGTAAAATAATGGAATAAATTTCGATCTTCCCACTCTGGCTAAGTTTGTTGGTTAACAGTACCATAACCCTCTTCTTTCTCATTATGGAGTGGAAATAGCCAGATAGGAGAATTGAGCTTCTGCTGAGGTGCACACATCACACAACTTTCACTATTCTTAGCAGAAATATATAAACAAGACAAAGGAAAGTACTTTTAGGGGGCGGGGTGGCCGAATCGGCTAGAGCGTGTGCACAGCACTGCATGTTGCCCGGCAACCGGATAACCGAAGTTGCAAGATCAAAAAATATATATAGACTCAGGAGACCTCAAAACATGTATTTCAGTTGAAAACTCAGATTTAAAAATTTTCACGATCGCAATACTTACTCATACTATATATTTCATAAATAGGTAAGTGAAAGTAAAAATCAGATTGATAAAATGATTCAACAAATATGACAGACTGGAGTAGAAGTATCAACAATAAAACAGAATTGAAATGGGATAATGCTGAGAAAAAAAGTAGAATTTTAGATATGGTGTCAGAATAAAGTAAGAAATGGTATTTAAGTTAATATAGAGTGCTACCAGTGGGTAGTTTCTCAACAAGTGATTTCATGTTATTATTTTCAGTTATCAAATTTGCTAAATGTATTTTATTTATTAATACAGTTGTAAATATCATGAATAAATAAAAAATAAAATAAAAAAGTTAATAAATAGAAAATAATATACAATGAAGACTTGATGAAGTCTGGAGCTCTGTAGGACAGTGAGTTCTAATCTAGTCAGGAGGTAATAATTTACAATTTCCACAGTTACTCTAGTTATTGAATGAATCATTCAGAGGAAATGCTAAGCAAGTTAAATAGAGCGAGTAAGTGTTAAGGATCACATACAAACATCTTGTATAATTTCATGCCAGTGTGCAATTATATAAAATATATTTACTATAATTCATCATCAATACTAACATTCTGATTTATCAAAATCTTCATCAGCAGTAATAGGTCCAGCTTCACTTTTATTTAAATCTGCTTGACCTGATGGCATGTCTGTAAGGTTCTGTAAGATAATAATTCATCAAATTATAAAAAGAAAAAGTTATGAATACAAGAAAAATGTCTGTATTAACCATTTAAATGAACGACTTCATCAAAGATGGGCATTTATCATTTTAATAAAGTTGAGAAAAAGCCAGTTATTATTGCCAAAGTTTCAATTTAAACAAATTCTAATATTTTTTTTTTTCAAAATAGAACTTAACACTGTTTATCAATCCTATGAAGCATGGGATAACTACATAATTTTCAAAGTTGGTTGACTTTGTCTTTGAAAGTGATGATTGACAAAATTATTGAAACAAAAATTGACAATTGTCTATTTTTTGGGGGGAAAAATGATTCTAGTAGTTTGTGAACAAAGGTCCTAATTTTTTTATTCATAAATAAGACAACTTTGCTGTGTATTTATAACTGGTGATAATAAAAATAATGTTAAATGTAAAAATTAGATTTAATTTAATTTTTACATTAAACAATATATTTCATTATTGCCAGTTTTAACAATAGATGTAAGTATGACAAAAATCATGAATGACAAAATCAATTAACTATTGGCCAAAATCCAACATAAGGTGTTTTATTCGTATCTGTATAGAAATGTTTCCATTTCTAATCCATAATTTTGGGAACTCATTTTCAATTTCAAACCACACCTGGAAAATATTTCAAATGTAGTATTTATAAATACAGAATCAAATAAATTATTTGTTTGACGAGTATATTACAGCAAATATTTGAGTTTTGAGCATTTTTCAGAATATGTATATTTTACATTAGATAAACTTGTTTTATAAGTAATTTAAAAACTTAGTGATTAATAGTCACAAAATAATGAAAACATTTTATGCCCAATTCTCATTTAATCTCCAACCGAAACCTCATTTTGGTCTCCTTTCACATCGGGAAATAAGGGATCAGAATCTGTCTATCCAACGAGTTGTTTGATAAATGTCCACTTTAAAAGAAGTTGCTCTGGGGGGTGTACATTATTTATATGAACCTTTAGTTTTTAAAGCTAGAGTAAACTGTCAAATTTTTTGGAAAGAAATGTAAACTGAATAATGGATTAAGAGGCATTATGTTATTGGTAAAAATAACACGTCATGACACACGATAAAATCATTATAACATGTTGGTAAAATTTTCATCTAAAAACATAATAGCCAGTCCTTCATTGTATTATATACTATTATTTTAACAAACATGATAATATTCATTAAGAAGATGAAATATGAATAAATCAAATTAATAGGAATAATAAACTATGATAAAATCATTACATTTCTAGAATATTTCCATTAATATTTAATATATTTCTACAGTGTTCTTATTGAAAAAAATTTTGATTAAAAATCAGACGTGAAATTTTTCCCTGCATTTTATGTTTTTAAAAGATTGTTTTGATTAACCTTAATGAATAACTTTAAGAATGGAATAACAGATAAGACATAATGAATATGATATAATTGATGTATTTATAAATTTAACAAATATAAATATGATTTATTCAAAAGGGAGGATGAGAAAGTTAAATGGGTGTAATAGCTCATAGCTTAAATTTGCTAGCTTTAGAGAACAAAAATAAAAGATGAATTATTGATAAACCAATAAACCTTTACATCACTTCCTATTATCAATTAATAAAAACAAATTGATTCAATCATCATAAGCCAAAACAAAGGCCATACTATTATGTATAGAATAAAAAATTTCGAAATACTGAAATGTAGGTGTTTTTAAGAATTAGTACAAATTAACCTAATAGAATGATGAATATTTTGTATTAGAAACATCAAGAACGTTAGAAAATAAAAATAGTAGGGGCAATAGTGGAATTCAAAGATAACAATGATTAAATGTAGAAAGGTTTTTTATCATATCATAACCAGCTGTTATTGATTCATTTGTATCTAAATAATAACATGAATTCATCATTAAAGAATCACTAAAATCTTAAAAAGCAGTTTTGAAAATTTGAAGAAAAATCAAAAAAACATACCTTCAACATATAATCATGACAAGGAAACACATTAACAAAACAATCCTGTTCAATGTTTTGACATAAGCCTATGAACGTGGGTAGCGCTTCAATAGTCCGTAACTTGAATTATTCCAAAGAGCTATTTGGCATATTTTTTTATAAAATACTCAACATTACTGCATTGCATGAGCAAGTGACCACGCAGTTACATTCATTTAAAAAATAAAGTAAAATAATTATGATTTTTTAAAACTATGTATCGTAAAACCGGAAATTCACACCCTATGGTATAACATTACTCCAAAATAAGTTCTACTTTTTTGATGGCGTAAGCAAAATTTATTGGAGTGACATACTTGGAGAGGTTTTTTCTTTTTAACCAGAAGTTAATTTGATATTATAAGAAGACGATACTCTGAAAGAGAAAGCTGTAATTGGAAATTGGAAAGAAGGAAAGGATTCTAATTTGGGATTAATGTATCCCCACATGATGCAAAGTTACCCAATTAAATAAAAAGCGTTTTATCTTCAACAATTAAAAAAATCTGATATGGTGCGCGTATTACACAACGTTCATACAAACGTGCGTTATGTGAACAGCCTATCTAAATAATAAAAAGCCACATGAAACTGAAATGACGTATAACAAGTTTGCGCTTGTAATAGGTAATCGACGTTAAGCTATGTCGTGTGTGGTTGCATGGCACAATAGTGATGATCCTCCTCCATGTAGTTAATTAGTCGAGAATCGTGATGAGGTTTTCTACGATAACAGATTCTCCCCAGAGGTTTGTTCTATGGACGGTCTGTTTCAGGGAAAGAAATATTGGTATTCGTCTGCCTGTTGATTCCGAACAGCCATTACCTATGGATATAGAGCAATGTGTCATTGTTCTTGAACTTGAGTGAGTCGGTGGAAAGAATACTGCCAAATTGGCCCCAAGGAATGGAGGTATGGATGAATAGCCGCTTTATCATAGAGACCAAGGTCCGCAGCAAGGTGAGGTTGCGTGACCCTCTCCTGACTATCATTATATGCCTTTAAGGCCACATCGAAAATGGACAGTGCCAAAAAACCTATAAAGTTAATAGGTTAGATGGGTGGGGAAAAACAAATGGCAATTATTTGTTTGATATTTATGTGTTAATACGTCTATAATATTTACTTTCACTTCTCCATATATGGGAATACTTATTTCTAGTCAAAGTTACTTCATTAGTTTTTAGTTATTTCATCTAAAAAGTTATTATAGTTTTGGATTAACGTTATTCCATTGGTAAATTTTCCCATTTTACAGTATATAGTTTGCAAATCTCGTATTGTTTTAGAAGGATGCGATAATGTGAGAAGTTACACAAGTCCTCAAATAACCTGTTATCTGCTTGTCACGGCAGATGAACATATTAAAGCAATATTTTATTATTTTACGGACATATAATAAAAAGAATATTTTTATTTACCGTGGAACTCCATATCGATTTAGTTATATTTTTTCTATTTATATTTTTTTTATATTCAAAACTTTTGGACTATATCGATGGTCAGCTGAGAGGCTTTGGGAGCGTTTTCAGTACTTTATTTTAAATATTTGATTGAATTAAAGAATAAGAGACGAGACCGGACCACCACCCAAACTTTCTCTTTTCTCGCATTCGATATCCGAATGCCGTCTCCATTACACATTTATTGTGGTTGTGTTCAGTTATTACAAAGCAATGACCTATTACTTCAATTAAGGAAAAATCACATAGTACGATTCCCAACCCCCTCAAATGGGAGAATTTTGACTCTGTAAATTGCAATTATTGTCTCACAGTCAACCAGTAAAATTTAGATATATAGATAGATAGATAGAAAATAACTTTATTCTGGGACAAAGTCTCTTGAGGATAACAAAATAGAACAAGATTAAAAGATTACATCTGGCCTAAATAAAGTAAAAAAAAAAAGAAACAATGGAAAGAAAATATAAGGTAAACATTCTATATACAAAACAAACGAAACTATATACCACAGGCGGATTTACGGGGGGGGAGGGGGCTTTCGGGCTGAAGCCCTCCCCAAAATGGTAAAATATAACCAAGTTTTATGGTAAAAAACATAAAAAAATTATGTCTTAAACTATTGTTGCTCGTTCAATTACATTTAATATGACTTCAAGAATCACTTAAACACCATTTCATTTAGGTAGTTGGAATCTTTCTTTTTTCCAAAGAAATTATCGTTGTATATATGAAAAAAAAAAAGCTTCCGGGCTGAAGCCCCCCCCCAAAATTAATTCCTGGATCAGCTAGTGCTATATACAAAACAATTAACAGTATGAAAAAACACTTAAAGCTATTTGCATTGATAGCCCATTATACACTTTTAAGAAAACAATAAAGAAACAAAAAGAAAGAAAAATATATTAAATTCTTCATTAAAATAAGTCTTGTGTTTCTGTTCAGAAAAGAGAAAGCTGAACTTGACAATATAAAGTGCCTGATTAATATATATACATTATCATTTAACTGTTGATTAATATATAAATACATCATCATCATTTCTTAACGTAACGATAGGCATGAATTTAATGGTGTAACTGATAATAGTTATAAGCAACCAATAGATGCGTTCAATGACATCAATTTTATTGCCCGAGTCATTTGGTTTTTTTAAACCAAATAGGTAATTTTACGCAATAATTTTTTTAAGCGTCCTGAAATTGGTACTTTTGCGCGCCCCAAATTGCACTACTTGAATTTGTTTTTGCAAGCAGGTTTGCTGCGGCCTAAAAAAAAACAAAAACAGACATCGTTATTTCTTCCCTAAACAAATCATAACTTTTTTAAATATTTCAATTTTTGAAATTTAGTCTGCCAAATGATACAAGCGGCTTTGAAATATTCTACTGTTTAATAACGAAACCTTTTAATAGAAAGATTCATTAATCCTGCGATAACGGTAATTTTTTTGATAATTTTGGACGTCTTTTTTAAGTGGCTGCCATTTTATGAAGCAGTGGCTTTGATATGGCAAACAAGTATTGTTTCACTTAGAATGATATACAATCTAATGATTCACACTCAAATAGTCTCTTAAAATGAGAGTAGTATCCTAATTTGATCCATGGACTCCATCATTTCGCCCAGTTTAAAGATGGGACCGATGCCATCGATGTGTTCAGCGCTGGATTTACGAACCACTATCACTATCAAACTACAGACGTATTGACAAACACAAAGTGAATTCAATAAAAGAGATTAGATTATATTTGTTTTGGATATGTTTGGCTGCCGGCAAGCTGATAAACTAGATTTAGCTCCTCAAAATTGTAATAGAAGAGGAACGTACTTGACCTCGTTTACTGCATTGTTTTGCTGGAACAGGGGTAATAGTTTGAAATAATAAGTACATGAGTACTTAATAGACTCACTGATCTTCCTTCTTTATCATGAAGTAGCTATTAAGTGTGTAATTCATTTCATTTTAATTGCCAAATTTGCTATACTTTAATTTTGTTTCTTTACTGGCGAATCCACGGGGGAGGGAATAAATTTGGAGAGAGGAGGGGGAGGGAATACTTCCCCTCTCCCTCCCCACAAAAAAAATATAAAATTATTTTTTTTTCTACTTGTTTATACCTATTCCTATGATTGATCTGAGATAAATACTTCAGCAATCATAATCTGTTCTCTTTTTAAATTATAAAGTCTGTAGTTTATACTAAATACAGCCACATATCTCATAAATTTATCCCTAGAAAGCGTTATTATTCTTATCTATATTTTTTTTCTTAAAAGACCTCCAAGACCCATAAGATCATCATTTCTTAAAGTTTCCATCTTTTTCTTCCACAGTAACTACCGTTGTAAAAATAAAATAAAGCCTTTAAAAATTAAATCTTGAACCCATTACTGCTTTACTTTCACTGTTATTTATTATTTCTGATTTTAATGATCCTTGTTTTTCTCTATATTCTTAAATTTGATTAGCTACATAAATTAATTCATCTTTTATTATTTTCTTATTCTGATATTGTAAACAAAGAATAATCATGATCACGGTATTAAATAATTTTATAAGATTACAGACAAATTTTGTTTTAATATTATTAAATGATATAAAATACTTTCTTTTTTTTTCGAAAATTCTTGAAGGTTTACAAACTACGATTTTGAAGTTTTTTAATTTTGTGATCTATCTTCTGTAATGCCCAGGTTGATGATAACAAGTCGGTTAGACACCAGTTACTTCACACTTCAACGAAGGTCAACAACTTCGTCAGATAAGCGAGCAAACGGGGAATTTTTCAGATAAGGATATTCTAGAGCGTTCCCTTTTGGGATTCGTTCTTTGTCTTCTCTTAAACAAAATATTAAATCTAGATCTTTTATGCCAAAGTTTTTCAGTGCTGGAATCTTACTGAGCATTAATTAATAAACATAACTTTAGCATTTTTTTTATAAATTACATATATTCCATGATATTTCATTACACATGGTTCATAAACTTTTATAAGAACTACATCTTAATGTAGATACATACATATATTGTTTTTTTGCAGACAAAATAACGATTATGCGGCCCACACACTGTTGCAGTATGAGAGACACAGAGTTGCTGTATTAAAATATATATTTATTGAAGTCAAAACTTCAGTAAGCGCGTTTTGCACTTTTTTTGTAGAGAATGAATTAGATTGAGCCGTCAGATCTCCGATATGTAACGCTCGGGTAAAGTCGGCTGGAGTCGACTAATTGAAGAGATTTTGAATATGGATTAAATTATCTCAGAAACTATAAATCGAAAAGAAAATTAAAAATTGTATGGTAACGCGACGCTGTGTTAGAGAGGCGAAAAGGAAAAAAAAAACGTCTGTCAAATAAGGTCAGTATAGCTTCCTCACCATTTTCAGTTGCTAAAAAATATCTATATTAAAAGGTCTAAAAATTTTCTTATGAGAATAAAATCTCTGGAAGAAGCAGTTTTCTGAAATTCTATAATTCTTCAACATATACCAGCTTGATATCCACTGTTTATCAGCAAATCCTAAAATGGGAAAAAGTTCCGCATTTGCAGATTGCATATTTGATAATTGGTAATTTAAAAAAAAAATCAGTGCATACTGAATATATATATCTCGCTACTGTTAGTGCATGTGGGCGGGGTGGCCGAATGGGCTAACGAGTGTGCACAGCACCGCCGTTGCCCGGCAACCTGACAAATGAGACAACGATGAAAAATAGTTCCGAGTTCGCATCCCCTGGCCTGGGAGAACCCCCTATAGCCTTAAAGGCGAGGAAGGGGAGAACAAAAAAAAAAAAAATACTGTTAGTGCAAATGACGTGTGCAAAAATTGAATGTTTTACAGGAGAGCATAAAAACTAATTATTTCTTTATGATTTATAAGTATAATTTTATTACTCTCCTTATTTTTCATAGTAGTAGACTACTTATATCAATTGCAGACTACATAATCTCAAAAATAGAATAAAATTTGAAAACTTTTATATACGACCTTTGCACTATCAATAGTGATATATACTAATTTTCTCTCGTAAAATAAATGGAACAAAAAATCCATAGGAAAAATTCAACTTTTTGTTTGTTCGGAGTTAACGAGACCAATAATTTTCTTCAGTCAGAACAAAACTAATTAAGCGGAAATATAAAAATATGAGTGAAGTTGACACAATTTTAATATTTAAGGAGAAAATCGAGACGACGACGAACTCGTTGAACTTCAATGGAAATAAACACAATCACAAATAAGACTTTTTTTTTTTTTTTTACAAATTAAGAGTAAATATTACTTTATATTCACTGAAAATTACCAAATTTAATTACCGGCAATAAGTGTCGTACCAGTAACGTTTGGAATCGACCAAACAGTATTGTATAAATTATTTTTTTTAATAAAACCTAAAATTTTAGAACCCCATAACAATAATGTAATGACCTTATTCCCACTCCATATGATCAGTGCCTTCCCCATCTCTCAACCATTATATTGTTAACAATTATTTATATTAATTTTAATTACTAAATGGAATTCAATGAAATTGATACTAAGTGCTAAGTAATTTCTATACTGTTCTCCAAATTTCCTCCAAGTTTGGGTCTATCAAATAACACATTTTCTGATCTGAAAGCGGAAGCATTTTTTTTTTTTACATATTTTTTTCGTTAATAATAAATAAATAAATATTAGATAGAATTTGATAAAATTGATGCCTATTTCATTTTACGTTCACCAATCCCTAAATTTACTCCAAATCGAACTTGCGGTTTTAGAGATATATCAAGGAAAACACATTTGAGCATATATAAGAGAAAGAAATGGACAGAATTCAACAAAATTGGCCCTACATTATTTTTTCACAAATAACTATTTTTTATCCAACTTGGAGCCAAATCGCAATAGCAGTTTCTGAAATATGGCATATCTGCAAAAAAGCGTTTGCGCCTGCGTAAACGGAATTGCTGGTTAGAATATAATAAAATTGATATGGGACCATCTAGACACCAACTCGCTCAATTCTTGAAAATTTCAAGAAAATCAGATAAACGATAGTAGGTGATATGCCCGTTACATCGATTTGACTACAGACAGACACCGAACCAAATTTGATCCTTGATGTCTGAAACTTAAAACGCGAGTGGATATTTTCGATTCTGAGCACATTTTTTTTAATCTCTCGCACGAATACAATACTTCCCTACCTTTGGTATTGAGGAAGCAATAGTGTCGAAAATCAAACATAACAAGTTTTCTCGAAGATATGAATTAAAATATCTCAGCAACTAATAATCGGACCTTCATATACTGTAGCGATGAAAATGATCAGAATTTCATGTTCTTTGTAATGAGAAATTATTCAAAATTGTATCTTTACCCAACACCGTGTTAGAGAGGCAACAAGGAAAAAAGATAGTGTCGAAGACAAATGATAACGAGTTTAGTTGAGCATATGTATTCAAATATTTCAGAAACTAAAACTCGGACCTGCATACTGTAACAGATGGAAATGTTCAGCATTTCATCCTCTTTCTAATGAGCTATTATTTATAATATATATTCCATATTATTAATCTCCTCTTGTTGATGTTTTCACTTCTATCGTGTGGTCTAGAGTACACACATTAAATTTTTTTTAAAATATATGAATTCTGACATAAAAGTTACAAAAATAAGTACTTTCATTAAAACGATACTATTGGCAGAGAAATTTCATATTTGTTATAATATTGCATATAACTTGAAATATTTACAATATAATATAGAAGGTTTAAAAAATAAAGTAAATAATTCCTCCTCTCATAATATACCACATTTATTTATTTTCATATTACATCACCATCTGTTCACTGAGCTTAGCTTCAGTTATGATTCGTTTTGCGATACTTTATGAACATCATATATGGTATATGTTATTCATATTTGCTGTTGTGGTTTCTATTAATTTATTTTTTCCTCGGGAAAAATAGCGTTAATTTCTTGGAGAGATTTGTCCGCAGATCATAAATTTATGTTACTAAATGCTTTCATTTATTTGTTTTTGTCTATATATGTAGACAACGACGTTTTTAAAAATTAATTTATTGATATTTCCAACTCTCTATATATATATACAACAAGTACATATACTAAAATAATACAAAAATTTGTGATGAAATCACCCTTTTGGTGTCGAAAAGTTGGTGTTGAAGTACGTGTCAATGATTAAATTAATTTAGGACCTCTCTTGGCCATCTTCTTTTTTTGAAATATCTAATTTCGACCAATTCTTCAACAAAGGGATTGTTGAGGTCTTTACGAATAATTTTATTTGTGACATAATAAGAATCATTAAGGATTTTACGGAGGATTTTGGGTTGTGAAGATTGGCTACGGGAAAATTGTATGATATAGTGGAGCTCAAAAGCTCAATTCCATAGGTCCAAATGGGCCTGATGATGGTATATTGCATGATTGTATAAGATTTTTTTTTTTAATATTAGAAGTTTAGAGTGTTTGTGAAGTCCTGGTAGTCGGAATTTATTAGCAGTTTCTTGTCTTTTCAGTCTAGTCTAGTATGGGGATTCGAAGTAAGACGATAGTCAAGGAGTCCTAAGTAACGGGTCTGTTCAACAGGGATGCATCTATTGGTTCATTAATGACAGATAATACACATTTGTGATCAGCATAGAAAGGATGGTAGAAGGATGGGTTTGGATATCAGCTGTATAAACTGTGTAAATGATGGGACCTAAGATGCTTCCTTGAAGAACACCAGCAGACTGGGAAAAGAGAGATGAATAGGCAGAGTTAAAACTTTGAAAGTTATATCTGAGAGATAGGAAATATGCAGAGAACAGGAATTGACCGAGATCAAGCAATTTTGCACCGAGCAAACCTGCATGCCAGACTTAACATAGATTAACATAAAATGCTGGTAAAAGCATTCATCGTTGAGGTTCCTTGTCCATCCTTGATTCCTTTATTGTTTTTTATTTAAGCTATTTTTTTCTTATAATTTTCATGATCAATTTTAAAACTTTGGGGTCAAAACTAATCAATATTGTTAGGGAATAGTTGTGTTTGAAATATTACATGGCCTTAACAATTTCTTGTATCCATTCCTATAAAGAATGGGGCATCTTGCCACATTACTGATTTCATTGTTTCCTGATTTCCTATAGCAATATCTTCCTCGCTTAACATCCACTGTCTTTCAATGTCAGTGACGCGCTTGAGAAAGAGAAACTCTAGCATCTGAATTCTGCATTTCCCTCTAAAAGTGCAGAGACAAACATCGATGGAAGCAGTCCTCAGTCTGTGCCTAAATGTTTTCTACTGGCCAGGTGACTAACCGAAAATCCAATGTTCAGAATGATGGACGAGGAAAAACTGTAGACAATGCATCTACAATGACGCTTTCGGAAACAAGAATCCAGTCTCTCTTCCGCTTTTATTCCCATTCTTCTTTTGGTTATAGTTAAAATTAATGTTGAACTTAATTAAGTATGGTTTATTTCATATGAATAAGTGATATTAATTTTAAATATCGTCTGTAGTGATTAATAAGTATGCTGTGTTGTTAGCAACCCAATGTAATTGGGCAGCACCATTTTATTTATTTTGGGATAATAACGTGATTCTCTCTCTCTCTAGAATACTTTTATTAAATACCTGTTTCAGCATGATTCAATAATATATATTAATTTATTGATCGTTAAAAGTAAATTAAAATTTTAATTTTTAAAAACAAACAAATTGAGAATAATAAATAAATAATAAATTTTTAATTATCTCCTATAATTTTTTCTCAAACCAATATAATTTATTACATTTTATGAATAATGTAATCAAAGGTTTATTTATGAAGTTTACAAGAACATCATTTCAAATGTATTGCATGAAGAGACTAGAGCTTTGCATTTCAGGGCAAATTAAAAAAAAAATCACAAATTTGAAAGAACATAAATAAGAGTAATTGAGCCATGTAGAACCCCGTTGTTTGAAGTATCTTAAATGATTCATACGCATGATATGTTTAAATTGCGCAATTTTTCCTTACCCACTATACTCCGTAGTATACTTCAGAGATGATGACTCCTGGGATGTTGGATATTCCCAAGCACGTTTCCATTTCAGTCAATTTTCTATACCTTTCTATGGTCATTTCTTTAATGACACAGCTATTGATTCTTTCTGAGATAAAAAATCTTTCCGGCTTAATACAGAGTTCATACCAACCTGCACCTAATTAAGGAATAGTGCCTTAATAATTTTTATTAAAGTTCCAAATTAAACATTTTGAATTTGTATTAAATTAATAGTACCATGGCAGTTCTCATAGGCGTTCATCTTTAGGCTTTTGCTTTATGTTATATCTGGTCTAGGAGGCCCTACGAAAACGGAGGGGAAGGGAGGGGCAGCCTGAGTCACTCTCTGTCCCGGACTGGTCGAAAACGCCCGACCTGCCCTAAACAATTTAGTTTTTTTAACTTCTGAAGTCACGTTAAAATAACGTACAGATAACGTTACATATATTATATTACAATTATGTAATACCTTTACATAATATGTTTGATACATATTTTCTTTTCTGTTATCTACACTTCGTCTTTTCGTCTATATGGGATTTTTCCTGGGTCAAAAGAGGGCGGGGGATCAATGCCAGAATTAAATGCCCTAGGTAAAGGGACTTACGAATCTTCTGGTACCAGTTCGTTAAAATCCTTCACTCTTGGGAGCCAACAAAATATTTTATTTCTATATTATTACTGAAAAACTTGCCAGCCCATATAAGAAACATTGCAGCTTGAATACGTTGCGCAGATAGAAACTTCGATAAAACTTCAAGAACAATGTCTAATTTATAATTTTAAATGTGCTCATAAGTCTTTTGAGATTAGAATAAAAACTCCCTATATTAAATAAAGTAAGTTCAAAGTTGTTTTACCTATAAATTATTTATTTCATTCTTCTAAATTTTGGCTACAAACAGTAGCCGATAAGTCATGTAAATTCTTTCAACCGTCCTGTATTTTTTTACAACATTAAATTTAAATACTCCATTCAATGCCGTCCCACTAGATCTCGTACTTTCGACCTCTATCCTCCTCCTCACCGAATTACTGAGTTTGACAAATCCTTAGTAATCCAAGCTGTTTCCGTCTGGAATTCTATCCCTCCTGATATTAGGAATGTACAATCAGTTTCCTCTTTTAAACTTCTCCTCTTTAAATACCTGCTCCTTTCTCAATCAGACTGTTTTATGAAATGTATCTAAAATAACTCTTTAAGTAACTCTAGAGACTATTCCTTGTTTACTTATGTTATTATAGTTTCCGATGTTAGTTATATCTATATATATAAAACTAACATTCATTCTCTTTCTGTATTTTTATTTTTAATCAACTATTATTTTGTAAATATTTAATTTATGTATGGTCACACTGGCATTTAATTACACATTTTTTTAAAGAAAAAACAGTCCCAGAATAATAAAAAAATATTTTCATTTCATTTCAAGAGAGATCCAGTAAAGGAAACAACAAATTCAAAGGGAAGAGGGGAGTTTCTCATTTCACCTGGGAAATATTTGTAAGATGAGTAATACAAGGCTAAATGTTCTAGGATTCCTGGGAACTGAATTGCTCTTTATACAATTACTCACAATGTATGTAAATTTGAATCCTATAATGGCAATGGTTTGGGTGAATTTCGTCAACATTTCTGAATGGCTTAGTAGATTTTAAAGTTTGGCCCACCTCTACAGTTAGAGGATTAAAACTCTATAATTGAGTATTAGCCTTGTATTACTCACCTTAAAAAATTTCTCTCAGAAACTTCCCTAACATTTGAATTAGTTGTTTCCTTTACTTTATTTCTCTTTACTGACTTCATCGGAGTCTGATCTGGCGGGGTTGGGTCTAAACGGCGCTCGGTGGTTGAAAGAATGTGGACATCGATTGGTGATATTGGCATCAAACCTTCGGATTCTCAAAGCCTTATTATTATTACTATTTTTTTTTTAGTCTGCTCAAGACTCCCTCTGAAGTCCTGCCCTGTCACTGATATCCTGCCCCGAATATTATTATTATTGTTATATTATCTATTGGCAAAGCAACTTTAAGCCTTACTTATTTAACATAGGATGTAAATTATTAAATATTTCTAAGGTCTTATGAATATATTAAAGATTTCAAATAAGAAATTAGACACTGCTCTTGCAGCACTATCGAAATTTCAATCCATTCGTAAGATACTTTTTCTTCTTCTCAGAAGCGATGTGTTTTAACAAATGAGGTGTCTACTGAAAGGGAATTCATGGATACATGACGAATCCCAATTTCTATTCTTAAAATCTGAATAAAGCTATAGTAAAAGTGATTTAATATTCTATGTGATAGCAATACTTTGACCTAATAAAATGGCGAATCGAGATGGCAATATTCATATTTTTAATCTTCCGCACCCCCATACCGGACTGAAACGACTAGAAACCGCCCGATGTTTTCGACTACTGCAGCACTTACTAGACAAACACTCTAAGCTTTCAATCAATTACAAACGACCCATATATATGAAAATAATAAGACCTATTTCGACCTACGGAATTGAGTTTTGGGGCTCCACTAAACCATCGAATTCCTCTCGTATCCAATCCTTACAAGCCAAAATCCTTCGTAAAATCCTCAACGCTCCTTACTTTGTCACAAATAAAATCATCCATAAAGACCTTAATGTTCCATATGTTTCCGATTTGGCCCAATCCAGATACCTATCCTTCCATGACAAACTGCAGAACCATCCGAATCCTCTCGTTTCAAAGCTTGCTTCCTCCTCGATACCTGATAACCCTCCGAGGCGTCTGAAAAGAAGATGGCCTCGGGACCTTCTAAAATAGAACTTTAATTTGAGTTCTACCAATGGGAAGTTTCTCTTCATGTTGTACATGTCATGTTACCAATGTTACATTTACTTGTTGTATTTTCTATGTAATACAGTTATATATTTCATTAAAATAAAAAAAAATCTTCCGAAGCGGACTAACAAATACAATTGGAACATTTCCAGACTTGCGTTTAGGATAACACAAGCGACACTATAATTCTAGCAATAATATGCTAGTTGCCAAGAGATGCAAATCACACATCGCTTAGATTTTTACTAAAATATAAAATTTATCAAATTGCGTCATAGTCACAGTTAGATTTAAATTATTTTATATATCTCTGTATTCCGCATATGTAGTTCTATGTAAGAAAATTACAAATGATCTTCTGTACAAATATAATAGGTCTCAGCGCGCATAATACTGGTATAAGTTTATGAATGGAAGGGCCATATTGCTTAACTGTTAGAGTGATGGAATACTTTCCAATATACCTTATTTTGTACAAGTTTACTTCAACATGATCAATATTAGTTATGAATTTTAACCAATAATTTTTCCTCGATAGACTTTTTTGATTATAATATATTATTTTGTCGAATAACAATACTTCCATGCCAAAGAGGATAAATAATCAGCAATAGGAATTTCATCAAAAATAAAAAAAAATCTTTTATTTAATAACCTTTAACAATAACAATTGCAAATTACAAAACAGCCTTCTTCAATAAAAAAAAGTAATAATTATTTTTTTATCTCTTCAATATATTTTTCTCCCTATCATATCTGTTGTTTTCACTTATCAGGCACTTAAAATACTAAGAAATATTTAGGTACTTTTAACAAACATCTGATACTTTTTGACTCTCAGAAATGTAAATGATTCAATCCAGTTTCAAATTACTTGGACCTGGTGCCTAACTCAGAGGCGACTTTTGTTTAATATAGCGATGACAATATACTGTGATTAATATCCATCTTCTTGTTGCTCATTGCTGATTTGTTGTTTATTTACATTTCATATTATGAATTTCATTATCTAGAACATTCCAACGTTGGAGAGGTAAATTTCTGTTATATGTTTCTGATAAGAATAATGACAAAGTAAAAGCCTTGTTCAACTCATTTTAATTCATTTTTTCACGCAATAAATCGTAATTGATGTTCTAAGCTTTATATAATATAAAATTAAATTTTGTATAAACTTCAGTTGTGGTGACTACTTGTAAGAGTATTTATTGTTTTTTTTAATGTTTATTTTTTGGGGCACTGAGAGAAGAAACAAGTCTTCGTGGATTTCACTATCACTTATCTGTAATCTTTATATAATATAATATAATCTTTATATTATGGAATAAAGGTTAGTTAGAATGATTTCAATTAAATATAAAACAATTAATGATATTGACAATGTTCTGATTAAAATATAATTAAAAAGAATAATAAAAATTAAAATATAAGTATAAGGTTTCGAAGCTCCCACATGTGAAAAATGTAATAACGTTTCACAAACAGTAAAACACATACTGGAAGAATGTCCTAAATTTGAAAGTTATAGACAAAAAACAGGCTTAGCCAGAACATTAAAAGAAATCCTTCAAGATACTGAAGAAACAGTCAATACTTTGTTACAAAAGAGTATAAATCATAGTAAAACGCCAATGACCCTTGAGGGTAGAGGCGAGAAATAGATAGAAAAAAAAAAAGTATAAGATTAAAAAAATATTGTTTTTATTTGTTATCACCTCTGCTTTGCAGTAATTGAAGACGTTCATAATTAATAATTAATTAATATTTAAACAATTTTACGATACTTCAGGAAATAGTTACAGTGATAATAAGGCATTGATAAATCTTAATACATTAATGATATTTTGATTAAATATTTATGTATGAGATACTGTGAGTTTCTAAACCCATCTATTTCTAAGCTCATCAATGACATCAGAAATCTATCAGACCATTCTTAAATCCACTAATAGAATTCATCGATGGGTTTAAAAACTACGTTCCTTTAATCAACGGTTGGATCAATGTTTCGTCAGCTTTTCTGGTCGATGGATCCGCTGGATCATAAATAACTTCAGTGTTATTTCTCAGTTTACTTTATGTATCTGTATTCATTTACTTTTAATCTATATTTATGTCTGTTTTGAAATTCAACTATTCGTTAGATATTTTTGCTTTCAATTTTTTATTATTTAGTTGTTTTGCTCCCTTACAGGATAGGCAACCTTCTGCTGGAATCCATCAGGTCGTTCCTAAGCTCAGCACAATTCAATGATTCAATCGCTTGATGAAGTTAGCATCCAGTTTAGGAACTTGCTCAATGTTTTACGGAAATGATTCACTATTATGCAATTATCTTCCTGGGAGGAGCCACCAATGAAAATAACACTCATTTCTCTCCTTTACGCACCAATTTTCCTCGATTCTCCTGATTTTTTCAAAATCACTCTTCCCT